AGATGCCATAGGATGAGATCAGCTGGGATATTATAGGGAGAAATTCTTCCGTGGGAGGGTAGGGAGGCACTGGCACAGGTTGCCCAGAGGAGCTGTGGCTGCCCCATGGCTGTTAGTGTTCAAGGCTAGGCTGGACGGTGCTGGTGAGCAATGCTGCAGTGTTGTCCCTTCTGACAGGTGCCCGACACCCCGGGAATTCCCCTTTTGCTTCCCGATTTTCCCGATCCCCGGTGCCGCCGTCTGCCGCGGGCTCCGCCGCCGCCAGGTGGCGCCGCACACGCGGCGGAGGGAGCCGCGGCGGCGGTGATGCGCCCCGCCCGCCAGCCCGCCACTGTGACCGCAGAACCGCTCCGCCCTGAGGGGCAGCGCCGGCTCCTTCCGCCGGGGGTGGGCTGAATAGCGCCTTTAAATTACTGCTGACACCTCTGTCCCAGCTCCCTAAAATCTCAATCAACAAGCCATTAGAACTCAACGGGAGTAAAACTAAATCCTCGTTTAAGTGTATTTATCTGCTCTCTTTTCTCTCTTTCAAATGCTAAATCCATTTCAGCATATGCCCCTTCTTTCTCTCGCCTTTCTCTAAAGACTGGCAGCCCGCACTACTCTTGTAAATATGAAAGATGCTAATCATATGACATATCACGTCTCAGTCGGAGCCTGGAATAAAGCCTTGAGATTTGGGATCATTGCCTCCAGACAACAGCTTCATCAGCCGGAAAGTTGGGTTTTTTTCTCCTTTCCTTCAACTCTCAATCCCTTCTTTGTCTGAGGGAAAATGCAGCCAACTCGAGCCACCCCGGCCATATGGTTCACTCTGTGTTTTCTTAGTTGAATCCTGAATTGTTTGTGACTTGCGAAGGTTTTTTTTTTTTCTTTTTTTTTTTGGAAGTGTGTATAAAGACATAGAAGAGACTGCCCAGACCGGGGCGGCTCTGCAGGATAACTCCATGTTCTTCATGTGTTTGCTTTCAGTCACCTCACCACACAGTCAAAAAGTATAAACCTGCAGACACACTTTATACCAATAACCTGTTCCACGTATCTGGTATTCTTCCCCTTCTGGGCAAAAATATCCAGGTGTTTTTCCCTTTTCTGGGTGGAAATTTCTTCTTCAAACACCATTTGTGTCTTTACTCAGCTCCATAAAGCAGCGTTATTGCTCACTGGCAAATCCGTTCTAGAAATGCCTTGACTAAGAGAAGCCCCTGAGTATTTTGAGTAAGGAAAAGTGGTTTTTTAGACCTGTATAAATTAGGAGCTGAGTAAGTTCGGCACACCCGCGTTTGGATATCCCCCTGTTTGATAGCCAGCCTTCCAAATTTTCTTTCTCTCTTTCCTTACACAACTCCCCCCCCCCCGCAAAAGGCCCTTTCACCAAACCATTAAATTCTACAGAGGTGGTCAAGCTAGTCCTGCTTTTCAGGCGTTCGAGGAAGAAAAGGGTCCTTGAAGTTTAGAAGATGCCCAAGGAAAACTCATTGAATGACATCAAAAGAATGAGTTTCCATAGCTGTTGAAGCACGAGAGCCGTGTAGCTGCACAAAGGCAGGTTGGGGCAGTGGGACTGTCCCACTGCTCTATCCCAGCACAATTGGGTCACTGAAATAGGGAATTAATTACCATTGGAGAGTGGGCAGCCCATTCACCACTGGCTGAGTTTTATTAAACGCCAATATAAATAACAAAACAACTCTTGTGGCTGCACTATTCCTACACGCCAAAGGAAGGATTATGTTGGGGATTAACATCTTAAAGTCTATGAGACTTTCTGACTCAAGGCTCGGAGCTGGTAATCGTATTTGTCTCCTGGTTCAGCGATTAGTGCTCTCCCTCGCGCACCTTCGCCTGGATGGCCAATGTCCCTTTTTGCAGGCACTGGGTTTTTCACACAATCGGCTGTTCTTTTCCCCACATCTATAGAAAAGAATAAGAAAACTGAAGCGTGTTCACGCGATCCTCAAGCTTCTTCTCTTCTTCATGGGAAAGGAAGGCACCGGCAGCCTTTTTTCACAAGGGGGGGAGGCAAACCCTCTTGGGGGGGGTGGTGGCAGGACTGCAAAATCGCTCCGCAGGCCTGCACCTGCCATGCAAATCTGCCGGGAACAATCGGCCCCCGACGAGGGCCAGGCTGGGGGGAGCCGGGGAAGGATGCCGGGACAGCGCTTATGGGGGGACCCCTCCTCGCCTTGATCCCGGAACAAACCCCGAATGTGCTAATACAGCTTAGGAGTTGGGGGGCTGGTCCTCGTCTTGTCCTTCCCTGTGGCACTTCTTGCTGCAGCGTGCATGGGGTGTACGGGAAGGACTTGGATCGGGATGCGGGGGATACACAGCCCAGCACTTTTGATTTCTTCCCTTTGCAGAGCACCCCAGTACTCTGCTGTGAGGGGACATGTTGTCACACCCCGTTTGAGAGCAGAACCACCCCACTCTCAGGGTTTGTAGGTGCTGCCCAGGGCTGGGCACCACAGGATTCAGGGCACCCTGCTATGTATGGGCAGCCCTTAGGACACTACAGGCTGTGGGGTACAAGGCAGGCAGAGCTGGGAAGGGTCAGGCCACCCTGTCCCCACAGCTTTGTCCCCACATTTCCTGGGATGTCGTGCCCCTGTTCACCTGAGGCAGGCTGGCCATTAACGCTGGCTCTCAACTTGTGAGGTCGACGTGTGGATGGGCTGTGCCCAAAGGTCTCTCAGCAACACCGACCCTAAACTTTTAGGGCTATTGGGTCGCCTCAGAGTTCAATCTTCTTACAGCAAACAAAGCCCTTCTGAAGGTCTCCCCCTCTCCCCCACACGAGCTCAGCGTCCTTTATTTCAGGGCTGGGTGATAAGCTTAAATCATTGTGCTCCCATTTCTTGATCGTTGCCTACTTTGGGCTTTTGTTCCCCTAAAGTAGGATTGAGTCTGGCAAAGGGGCTGAAGTTGAACAGTTTGACCCTTGGAGGACAGTTCAGGCGGTGGGCAGTGGCAGCAGCATTCCTGCTTCTGCTCCCGCTCCCTCTCCCCCCCGCCACCTCCTCTCCCCACCGCTCTCAGCCGAGCAGCTCGGCCCTCGCTCTGCCCACAGACCACACAAGTGCCTATCGAAATCTGTGAGGATTTGGTAGCCGACCTGTCCTTGGTCACGTTGTGCTTAAACCCATGGAAAAAGCCACTGCAGGGCAGGGGCTGGCAGCGGGAATTGGACTGAACGCCAGAAAGGCACCACAATGGGTAATGCACCCGCAGTGCTACTTCTGCCTCACCTCTCTGTTGCTTTGCATCAGCAATAGAAGCACAGAAATCTCAAGCACGGTGATGACAGAGGGATGGGCTGGCCCTGTCACAACTGTACTCTGCTTTGTCCCTTAAGGTGCTGAAAAAGAAATAGGTCCTTTTGCGTCACTCTCCTGGGGTGCCAAGGGTACCTGTGAGTCTCCTGTTTTTCACAAAAAGGCGGGCGGAGTGTTAAATTGTTTCATAGAGTCACAGAGATACTGATTGAGGCACCCGCCCGGCCTCAATTGATCCCAAAGGCTATAAACCCAGAGGGCGGCGAGGGTCAGATTTGTGTGTTAGTTTGTGGTGTGCTGAGCACCACTTCTGCAGAGATTTCAGCACTTTCATCTATTTTGGGCTTTTCTAGCAGTTGTAAATAAAATTCTGTTTCACTTCCCAGCTCCCCCAAAGTGCCTTGCTGACAGTGTTTCCATATGGAGAGGAGAGCGTGCTGGGGTTTCAGTTTGCTATGTTCTCTCTGTCATTTCTTTGGCAAGGGCTTGGAGTGACAGGCAAGAGGGGATAGCTTCACACTGACAGAGGGCAGTGTTAGGTGAGATGCTGGAAGAAATTCTTCCCTATGAGGATGGGGAGGCCCTGGCACAGGCTGCCCAGAAAAGCTGTGGCCGCCCCATCGCTGTAAGTTTCCAAGGCCAAGCTGGACAGGGCTTAGAGTAACCTGGGATAATGGCAGGTGGAGCAAAGCCAGCCTGCCGACTCCACGGGCATGTCACCAGGCTCTGCCATTGAGGGAGGGCTGGAAGGGAAGAGAGGGGTGAAAAGAATGAAGGTTTTCCCGGTGCACTGACAAGTTGGCGTTTGGAGTTTTTTCATTAAGTCTCTTCCAGCCTGTGAATTGTATTTGACAGCACTGAGCCGCCCGGAGCGCAGGGCTTTCCCCCACTTCGGGTTTGGCCTGATGCGAGCGGAGCAGCCGCATGCCCGCAGCATCTCCCACCAAGCCACCTATGAAACTATGCGCCTTCACCACAGCACCAAGCGTTCCCAGAAGGCGAAACCCTCCCGGGATCGAGAGGGGTTGAAGGGGAGAGCCCCCCATCCATCCTTCCTTCCCTCTCTCCCTCCCTTTCCTTGCCTGGCCCGTAAATGAAGCTGCTGAAAGGGAGCCGGCCCCGGGCGCGCGCGTGGCGCGCGGGGCGCGGGGATTGGCCGCCTGCGCCTCGCGCCCCCCCCCGTCCCCATTCATTAATAAATTAGCGGCACGCTCCAGCCGAGCGCGAGGCGCCAATGGGGCCCCGGCGGGGGGGGGCGGGGGGCGGCGCCGGGGGGGGGACGGGGGGGGCGGGGGGGGGCGGGGGGCGGCGCCGGGGGGGGGACGGGGGGGGCGGGGGGGGGCGGGGGGCGCGGCGGCGGCGCCCCCGACAAGAGTCGCGGGCGGGGCGGGCAGGGCGAGGGGGACCCCGGGGGTAGGTTTGATTGTTCCCCGCGGGGTATATAAGGGGTGTTAAGGAGGGTCGTGTGCCAGACACGCAGCCCGACGGGCCCCGGGCGCCGCTCCCGCCGCCGCCGCCCGCCCGCCCGCCGCCCCCGGGGCGCGTGCCAGCGCCGCGCCCCCGCCGCCCCCCCCGTCCCCCGCGCTTCGCTCCCCCCCCAGCCCTCACGACCCCCGCCCCGCTCCGTCAAACCGGCAAACCGTCACACCGCCGGAGAGGCGAGGAGAGCGCGCCCGCTGCTTCCCGGTGCTGCCCGGTGCGGCCCCGTCCAGCCGCCGCGCAAGGATGCTGGTGAAGGCGGAGGTCCTGGCGCCGCCCGCCGAGGACGAGCTGCTGCTTCTGGGGCTGGGCTCGCCCGCCCCCTCGCCCTCGCTGCCGTCCAGCGCCGAGGAGGAGGAGGAAGAGGAGGAGGAGGAGGAGGAGGAGGAGGAGCTGCGCGCCGCCCCGCCGGCTCGCCCCGTCGAGGCTCCGGGCGGCCGCGGGCTGCGGCGAGCGGAGGGGAAGCGGCGGCCGGGGCGATCCCGGGGCGCCCCGCGGGCGGCGCGCACGGCGGAGACGGCGCAGCGCATCAAGCGGAGCCGGCGGCTCAAGGCCAACAACCGCGAGCGCAACCGGATGCACAACCTGAACGCGGCGCTGGACGCCCTCCGCGACGTGCTGCCCACCTTCCCCGAGGACGCCAAGCTCACCAAGATCGAGACGCTCCGCTTCGCCCACAACTACATCTGGGCGCTCACCGAGACGCTGCGGCTGGCCGGGGCGGCGCGGCTCGGCCCCGACGGGGCGGCGGCAGCGGCGGTCCCCGCAGAGGGCAGCCCCTCACCCGCTTCCTCCTGGAGCGGCGGCGCCGCCAGCCCCGCGCCCTCCGCCTCCCCGTATGCCTGCACTTTATCGCCCGCCAGCCCCGCGGGCTCCGCCTCGGATCCCGAGCACTGGCCGGGCCGCTTCGCCCCGGGGCCGCCGCCGCCGCTGCCCCGCCGCTGCCTCTAGCCCGGCCCGGCGCTCCCGGGGCTCCCCCTGGGGCGGCGGCGGCATCTGCCCGCTTCCCAGGGCAGGGCGGGCTGTGGGAACGGCACCTGCCAAACCAAACTTTCCGTCTCTCTCTCTCTCTCTCTCTCGCCGATGTGCACTTTGTCCAGTTTTCCCAGATCTGTCACCGCGGGGCTTTTGTGTGTGTGTCCCCCCCTTTCCCGGCTCCCCTCTTTGCCATCTGTCCCTTATGATTTATAGGCGGGAGGGGGGCGCAAAGCGAGGGAAAAAAAAAAAAAAGTAAATTGTTTTGTTAGGGGTCCAGGTTAGAAGTCATTGTATAATTTGTAGGCTTTGTGAGGGCTGAATGCAAGCGTGGAAATTTAGGCTGAACTCTCTATCAAAAGGGAAAAAAAAATCGGGAGGGGGGAATGGGGAAGGATCTCCTCATACATTATTTATTTCGACCTTTAGGGGACAAGGAACTCCCCCCTTCTTTCAGGAGATTAAAAATAAATCAACAGACTGAAAACCTCAACAGACACGGAACATTACAGCGATCAGCCACACACGTGTTCACATTTATTTATTATAAAGACAGATTTCATGGAAAATATGTATTTTTTGTATAATTTACAGAGTTTATTCTAGTATGTATTTACAGCTGAAGAGCAAAGGAATTGTCCTTGTGATAAAATATAAATAAAAAGCTCTAATTTTCGTAACTTTGGGATTGCTGCTTTTTCTGCTTTAAGTGCTGGCGACTGCGAATTACGGGATTGGGTCTGTCCTTGTCTCTGGTGAAACCAAGGTCCAGTGGGGCCTGGTGTCACTTGGTCCATGGGCAAATGTTTCTTTGGGAAACAGCATTTTAGAGAGAGAGAGAGTGAGAGGGAGAGAGGGAAGTTCAGTGGAAGTTTACTGATCATTTGACTTTGGCCCTCAGTACAGAAGATGCTGACAGCAAATGCAGGATGGATGGATGGATGGATGGATGGATGAATGGATGAAGAATTATCACACTTCAGACCCATGGATTTCACCAAGAAGGCCATAAGAAATAAATATTATTGAGGAAAAAAATGCACGGGTTAAAAGAGGAAGAATTTCCTCTCTGTGAGGGTCAGATGAATTCCAGGTCGCAGGCAATTCGAGGGGGTTCAGTTCAGCGTGCACAGCACACAGCCAGGGATGTCATCATAGAAGGGGATGCTGGAGGCTGCCCAGGCCCTTCAATCATCATCCCCGTGCTCCCGGGAGCACTTTGTGACTTCTGGGTACAAACACTTGGAAATCATTAAAAACCAGCAGAGGCGCCTGAGTGTATTAATTAAATAAAATGCTCAGCACGCGAATCCCGCCCGGTGCCCTCCGGATCCTGGGAGCGTGAAACCCGGCCCTCGGAGCGACGTCCGCGAAAGGAAGGGGGGGGGGAAGAGAAAAAGAAGCCCAAAATGTGTGAAAAGAGAATTAGTGAAATTAGGTTAGGCCAATAAACCGCGCGGGGGTCCCCCCGGCCCCGCAGCCTCGGGCGAGCAGTGCTATCTAGCCTGATCTATTGTTTCCCGCCCTGGCAGGGGGGTTATTGTGTGATAAATAATTCCCTAAAAAAAAAAAAAAAAGTGGGAGCATTTGCATAATCACTTGCTTTGATGTGGCCAGCAAGATGAAGCTGTGTTCCCCCAAATCTGCCACGGGCCAGGAGGAACAAAACAAGAGCGAGCCTTTCACGGCGCTGGCGGTGTGTGGGGCAGCCCTTGAGGAGCGGGTTTTTCACTCTCACTCGCTTTTAACGACCCCTTTTAATGACTTAACTCCAGGAATGCCAAAAAGAAGGCGAGCGCTCTCTCTGTCTTTTCTGGTCGTGCCTCATTGTCCTTCCTGGTTTCTCTCCTTTTTTAAGAGACACTGGAGTAGGTGCTCTTCAAAAGGTCGGGATGGATGGGATGCACTTCTCTCTCGGTGCTGGAGCCGCGCAGGAACAGGAGGGACATCCAGCACCAGGATGTTCCCCGCAGCTGTCCTCGGGGAGGGATGCTGCTCCTTACCGGGTGCGTCATCCTGGAGGGATTTCCCTCCATCCCAGGTACAGACCCTGCTGGCAGGAGCGTTACCATCCTGCTGGGGCTGTGGCAATGGGAACCGCCGTGGGAAAAAGCACACGACGTGTTGGAGGATGGAGGGGGGGCTGGAGAGGGATTTGAGGTGGGAGCCACGCCAGCCAAACCTTCCCTGTTCCCTGGGGGAGGCTGGCCATGGTTGGAGATGCCCTCGGAGGAAACGGGCCTGAGCGGGACAAGGCTGGGAGGGGGTGGCAGGACCATGCTGGCAAACCTGAGTTGGAGAGGCTGGATTTGTCACTTAACCCAGTCACCCTCATCCTGATTTTCTGTTTGAATGTGGCCAAAAGTATTTATTTCCCTTTCTTGCCCCTTAGTTTGAGTTTATTCCTATCCTTCTTTTTTTCATATGTTTCCCTCTTTTCTCTCAGAAGACTGATTTTTGGAGGTGATGGGGAGTCCCCAGAGCCAACTGCAGCCAACCTGGAAACGGACCAGGAGATTCAAGATGGGCAAACACCTCCTTGGATGATGTGAGGAATCTGGGGGTGGTTTCCATGGCAGCCCCTTGCCCCAGAACATGTGTTTATGATCCTTCTGTGTATTGTATTTTGGCATAAAAGCTCCTCTGCGCCGGCAGGCCTGGAGGGGCAGCTTGAAGGCCCCCAGGGGGGTTTACAGCCCTCCTTGGCATAAGAATGGCCACGAGGAGCCAAAACCAGCACCCCAAGGGCTGCCGCACGCTGCCTTTCATGGCAAGCATAAATCTGTCCCCGTCGTGCCATCGTTAAAGAGCCCTCCCGACACGGCTCTCAGCTGGCTGGCGCATTTTAAACCCAGTTTTCCTAAAGCTTTACTCAGGTGCCTCAGGTGGGGCTTCCCTGTGGTCCTGTATTATGTATGGATTTGGCCCATGTAGCCCCAGTTCCTATTCCCCATGGGCAAAAAGGATCTCAATTATCTATTATACAGTCAATCCCCTGGCATAAGCAGAAATCCCAGGGGGATCTTTTTTGTAATCTGATGTAGGTTGTTGTCTTACTACAAGGCAAAACCTTGTGTTTTAAAGTCTAAGACAGACTCTTTGTCTCTGAGAAGCTCACAATGTAAGGATATAAAGATATAAGGATATCCTGCCTTCTACCTATGATTCTGCAACAGCTGTGCAGGTCCAGCAAAATTCTGGCAGCCTGCTCATCCCCGTGACCTCTCGTACTGAATTCAGATTAAGGAGAGGCAGAACTCCTGCCAGATTTAAAATCAAGCCTCTAAAAACTGATTGGAGAAAAAAAGAAGAAATCCTTGGAGGGTCACACTGCAGCGGCTGGGAGGGAACAGGGATGGTGCTGGGGCGGCTGTGACACACAGCCCTCCTCTCTCCCTCGCCTCCCCTCCTCCTCCTTTTATTAAAAAGCAGAGAGACCGGCCCAAAGCTGATGGCATATTTACCTTCATGAGTTTTAAAAAAAGTTAATTACCGCTCGGAGCAAGTTGGTCGGGCTGTCCTGAGCTGTCTTTTATTAGTAGTCGCCTTCATTAATTTCCCTCGCTGGATTTGCTGCTAATAGCTGCCTGGTCCTGGGCAGCACAAAGCAGCATCTGTGCCATTGAGCAGAAAAGCGGGAGTCAGGCAAAGGGGGGCACTGGGGGGGGCGACGCCGTTTGCAAATCAACCTCTATTAACGTGATGTCCTGCTCGGAGGGGACAGTTTGGGCTGTGCTGGGCTGTTACCGAGGGAGGAAAGGCACCTGCTGCCTGCCAGGGGGATCCTGCCCTCGTCCTGCTCCCCTGGGCGCTGGCTATGCCGCCTGGGATCCTCTGGGATGCTGGACCTACCTCTGGACCTGTGGGCCCAGCTCCGTGCTGCCGGTGCTGCGGCAGTGTCCCGCATTAAACAAATTGTTAACGACTCGGTATCTTTTGATGGAAGATACGCTCTGCCTTAAGAACAGCTTGGCAGAGAAGTTTGGGATTAAGGAATGGGATTAAGTTCTGTCTGGAGGGGGCAGCGGGCAGCCCCGGCGGGGGGGCTGGAGGCACGGAGGGCTCACACGAGCTGGGGCAGCGGGCGGCTGCAGAGGCCAACAGCCCCATCTGCTCCAGCTCAGCCAGGGGAGAGGGGAGATGATTTCATCCAAGTAGAAGAAAGGAGGGTGGCGTGTGTCACTCCCGGGAGAGGGCTGGGAGCAGCACGCTGCCGCCAGCTTCCCTGCAGAGCTGGGGGAGGCACCCGTGTGCCGCGGCTTCCCTCAAGGCAGCAGGTGACAGCAGCAGGTGCCAACACCTTGCTGCAAATATCCCGGTTCTGCCTAGTGGGAAGGAGGTGCCGAGGAAGCTGCTGCTGCTGCTGTGTTCTTCCAAGCAGAAGAGATCGGGCAGCACGGGCTGTGGTTCTGCGCTTGCTGACGTGAGGCTTTCCCCTCATTCCCCATGAATAGCCGTGTCTGCTGAAGGAGCTGCGCCTAAGTCCAGCAGCTGGGCTCTGGGGGCAGCTGATGCCGGGTTTATGGCAGCGAGGCTGTGCTGCCTCGCGTGCAGGGGCTGCCTCACAGCTGGAGGGGTCACCCCGTGCCCGCTCTCTGCCAGCCAGAATGGCCCGGGATGCTGCGGCTCACAGGGAGAGGGAGGGAGGCAAGCTTGGCTCAGCCCCGTATTGTTGGGATAACTGAGTTGGATAACTGAGGGGCTCCCTTTCCACCGTGTATTTTTTAAGAGAAATTCCCTGAAGTGTTCCATAGAGTCATTAGATATTGGCAATCGAGTGAGAAAGTCATCCTACCTGTTAGCAGCCTTTGGTTGTTCCCTGGATATCAAATTTACTAACTTGGATGCACAAGCACGACACATAGCCAACAAGACTCTGCCCTTCACCTGGATACTTGCAGAAAGGGAAGGAGGAAAAACCTCTTTAATACGGTCCCCTGAAGGACAGGAAAGTGTGTCACCACTTTGTCACAAGCAGGCTGGTTTTGTGCCTGACTTACAGCAGCATTCACACAGGGTGTTAACTCAAGTCCTGGAGTTTAGATGAGAGCAGAGAATGTTTCATGTTTCCTCAGGCGTGATGTCCCTGCAATTCATATTTCACTGTCCCAGCACGACACAGTTCCACTCATTTTGTAGAGACTGTCCCTCAATGGTTATACTGAATACTTACGTTGGAATTTGGAGAGTGTTACAATTAATCAAACCCGAAAAGCATCTTGGTAGCAAGTTACTTAATAGAAACCACTGAATCTCCAATAAAAACTTCCAAATTCTAATTGAAAAAGGAAAAAGTATTTCCAATGTCTCAGTTAGTTCAAATTACTTTATTCTGAAGCCAGAGGAAATAACAGCAATTTTTTTTGTCACTAGCTCTAGGATGAAATTTACAGACAAAATATTAAATTCTCCATCCTCAGAGTCAACTATTTATTTCCTCAATAATCCCCTATTTATACCACAAATGTGAACCAATAATTTAAACTCTGTGTGTTTGGAGCCATGTGCACCCCAGTTCTTCAGGTGATGAGGTTGTAAATCCATGATTTCCATTATCCAAGGCCCAGACGAAGACAGAGTGCCTGATACACCTGAAATTGTGCCCAATCCTGTAAAGAGTAAGACCAGTAGAATATGATTCCATGTCTGTTTTAACAGGGAACTGGACAAGCTGATCCTTGACCCTAGCTTTTACCTGTGAGTAGCCGTAACTTTGGCTGAGGTGGCAAAATGTCTCCTACGACAAACAAAAGAAATAAACTGCTAGGTGGAAATATTAGGAAGGAAGAAAAATATTAAAAATTCGCAGGGACGGATTTATTCAGAAGTATGTCTAAATAAATTTTATTTTTCTTTCTTTGAGCACGAAGGAGCTGGAAAACGCATGAGCGGTCAGGGGTCCCAAAACTGCACGTGCTGTCGGAACAGACACGGCGGGGCCGGCTGCTGGCAGCGCATCAGGACACTTTGTTGTGAAGAGATTGTCCCAGAGGTTTTGTTTTGGTTTTAATTGTCTCTATAGAGCAGGGAAAGCTTCTGCAGAGAGGCTTTAACACAGCATCTCTGCCGCCCATTAATTCCCGGGATCTTGCTAACTAGCTTTGTTTGCCGTCCGGAGCCCGGCGCTCGCTGGCCAGAGCACGGAGCTATGCGGTTTGTCACTTAGTTAAAGCCAGCATTTCCCCACTGCCGAGGACAAGGCCGGCCTTTATTGGCTGCACAACAAGATAACGGGCTTAATCTTCCCAGTAACACGTGAGTTTTCATGTATCACTTTAATCTGCGAGACACTGGGGCCGAGTGTCCCGTCACATGCCGATTTCACTGTTGTGTGAGCCGGCGACTGCCCAGCTCAATGATGGATTGTTTGCGGGCTCTTAACAACAGGCAAGATGGTGAATGCCCCGGGGTGACAGACAGTGTGCAATGGGAACTGCCGCAAATCTGATGGCCCGGTTCAAGTTCACCTGACAAAGCTGGAGCAGTCTGCGAGCAGCGCTCGGGAAAGGATTATTCACACTGGCATTATATTTTTGAATGCATTTTTCTCCCCGCGCAGCTGCGCAGCTCCCCAAGACTGAAGGTTTATGCACCATAATAAAGAGATTTAATTTTTTTCCCCTCTTCCTTTTCCTTCTTTACACCTAGTTCTAATCAGTTGGCCCAGGGATAGGGCATCTTTCCAAACAACTCGGCACAAACATCACCTAGAAAACAATAAAACAATAGCATTGCTAAAATGCGGAGACAAAAGCCTAAAAATCTCTGCTGGCTGCAGAAACAAAAAGGGATGGCTTTGTTAAAGCAAAGTCTGTTGGGGACCCATCCTTTTTGTGGAACTTTGATGCTGTGCACCCTTTCTCATCGAGAAAATCTCCCCAAAGAAGTGACCTCAGCTCTCGGGGGCAGTGGGACATTGGGGCTTTGGGGAGGAAAAAGAGAATGGGAAATGAAGGCAGCTTTTCCCTGCCTCGCTGGACAACCTGCTCCCAAAGATGTGTAGGGTAAAACAGTGTCCAGCCCATAGCTCATTCTGTGGACTGACCTGTGCCAACCTAGGCCAGCAGCTCCACCGAGGGCCTTCTCAAAGACAGGCAGCTACAGATCTCGTTGCACTCCACGTGTTGATCATTAAAAAAGTAGTAAATTCCTTTCTTCCCAAAGTTGGAGCGTGAGATGTCTTTGCTATTGAGGGAATGAATCTGGGGATCTGTGAGGTAGATGAGGCCTTTCCCATTACCTGTCACCCAGCCTGTGGAAGAAATGGTATATCTTGATAGCAAACACCAAATTACCACACTCAGGACTCTCTGCCTGGCATGGCCCTTGCTCTGTTCATATCACCTCAGTGATTCCCAGTTTCCACCCATGGCAGCAAAAGCACAACCCTATGAGACACATAATGAATTTTAACAAAATGAATACTCCAAAGATACCTGTGGGCTAGAAGCTGAGTGTTAAAGGCACAAACATCACTGTCATACACACCTTGAAGGTCGACAACTATGTCAGTTCCTTTGGAGAACTCATAGCAGAAGTGGCCATAGGCCAGACCGTACTCCGTGGCTTTGTACTCATTCTTCACTACCTTGGTGTTGTTGGACAGCTTCACAAACTCCCCGAGGATGTAGGGCTCCACACTCACACACCCTTTGATATTTCTGCCTTCCAGTATCTGAAAGGAGACAGCCTCACTGCTGCTATAACTGACCCAAGACACTCTTCCTCATCAGGTCCTTGGAATTGCTTACAAGACAGTTCTTACCAGGAGTACTGCAGAGGGGATGTAGAAGATTTGGGTAGGGATCTTCTGCTCATACAGCCTCTTGTTGAACTCTGTCACGTAGTACTGGGCAGTCATTTGTCGCTCCACGTCACTGAAATGATGGAGGAGTCCTTTTTCTTCTTTATATTCCTTCCCAACATACCTAAACAAAAGGAGAAGTGTCTGGAGCGGTGTTTGTTCTGGATGCTGTGACACAGGAACACCACTGCAAAGCACATCTTGTCAGAAGCAAATCCACCTCTGGGTGATGCATTTAAAATGGCTGTGTTTAAAACTGGGTGGAATTCTTTTCTTTTCCATCTCAGAGGTGAAAAATTATCAATCAAATCCTGGGATGGGGGATTTTATAACACTGGAATGTTTAAACTCAACTCTTCTTAACTCTGAAGGGAGACCTGACTCAGAGGCATTAAAATACTGTTCTCCATCCAAAATAATGAATCAGCTACTTCTAGTAATGATCTCAACTCTGCAATTAGCTGTTAGATGACAACAGGAAAGCAGCTTTTCCTTCCTAGAAATTAAAAAGGTAGAGTTACATGGAGCGGTGGGAAAGATTGCCAAAATGTCTAACAAATATTCTTGCTACACCAAATGTTACCAGACAGTTTTTAATCCGTATTTACAAAGAAGCAGCATTGATAAACACTTTGTTTCAGAGATCTGCTAGGTCCATACCTTCCCAAGGTTTCTTCTTGGTGCAGGAAGTGTATCCAAAAGGCTCTTCTCTGCTTGCCTTCCTTGGCCACGTTCAGGTAGTCCCCGATGAACACGGCTGTCTCCTGGCCTGTCCACAGCCCGGATTTCTTGGAGTATTTCAGAAGAAGGGCAGCTACAAAAAAGAAAACACACAGGTAAAAGGGAGCAATCCACAGGACTGCTCTGAGCCTGTGCTGAGGACTGGCTGTTATTTATGATTAACTTAATGATCACTATCTTAAACAGTTTTCAGGGATGGCATGTGGAATATAAATTCAAGTAGTGGAGCAAAAAGCAATAAAAAAATTAAATAATAATAAATGCTGACTAAGATACTGTATTGAAAAACCTGAGTCAAGTTTGTGCTCTGTGGAGGCACATGTTGTTGTGTGGAAACTCACAGTATGCTTTGTGAAGCTCTTTGGTCCTGAAGATCCCAGTAGGCATCAGTCTCTGGACAAGCCAATTATGCTCCACCCCTGCCAGAAGCTGCTTGTAATCATCATCCCCCAGGAACCGAGCATCCAGGATCTCTTCCTTCAGTCTCTCAGGAGTGAAGGCAAAACCACTTCCCCTTGGGACTGAACCTTCAGGGGAGCTCGTGGGCATTTGTGTTGGTTTGATCCATGAACTCAGAGAGGAACTGGATTGTCTCTTGCTGCTGACCACATCCTGAGACTTCTCTTCATCTTCCTCCGTAGTGGCACAGTCAAAGTGCTTGGTTGTGGATATCTTTCCCTGGGAGGGCAAAGCTGCTGGCACCCTGGGAGATGCTTCATGCTTTGGAGCCAGTGCTGTAGGATAATGGTTTACCAGGTCTCCCACACTGATGAGCTCAAAGTCAGTGTCATCTACTGTTTCTGCCTGGGTGTCAACTTGAGGCCCTTGGAGAGATCTGCTCCCCAGCACAGCAGATTTCCTCACCCACTCACGCACAGAGCAGTCACTGCCTGTTTTCAGCCCGATGTTTGTTGATGGTACAGAAGTGCCCCTGTTCTGGGGGGGCTGTGCCTCAAACGAGGGATCCTCAGTGCTATCCGCAAGTTCTCCTGAGTGGACCCACTCAAAGTGACCAATGCCTTCCTCCCTGCTGCTGTCCTTGGTCCTGCAGCTCAGCTCTGTAGAGGAAAAGCACTTCTCCTCCTCCTGCCCTGGAAGAACAGAGTAAGAAGTGGAGAGGGAAGGAAACTCACTGTTCGAGCCCTTTGCTTTCTTTTCTGAAGAGCTCTTTCCATGGTGTTTTCCCTCCCTCAGCTCTTCTCTGCAGAGAGACTCCTCCACCATCTTCCCTGCTGGAGGTGCACACTCCTCCAAGGAATGTTGAGGAGATCTCCCAGAGCCATGGAGGGACTCTGGAGGAGCAGGATGCCAGGCTCTGGGAGGTAAGGAGCACAAAGACTCGTCTTGACCATTTCCATTGGATTCTGTGGTACAGCACTGCTCCTCCACGGAGCCCTTCTCCCTTTGCTGCCCATCCCTGAGAGACTCTCTGCTGCTATTAAAATTTAGTTCCTCCCAGCTGGAAGAGTAACTGGATTTAGACAGCTTGCACCTAGAGTTCTTGGAAGTAGTGCTTTGGCTTTTGTTTTGCCCTCTGCTGAAAACACCATTTTCGCTGTTTATTTTAATTTCTAATGGCTCAATCTCTTCTTCAAAGGAAATTTTCATCACACCAGAGCCAATGTCTTGATTTCTCTGGCCATTGAGTCCCTCTGAGCTGTTTCTTGCTGTTGGTAAGTTCAGGATTTTCATAGCACCTCTCCTCTGGTGAACTGTGTCTTCAGTAGTACACACAGTGTCCATGGTTTTGGTCTCTGTTCTTAAGGTTGTGATACAAGCTCCCACCTGGATTTCTCCTGGTGTGGTTTTATGAATCCTGCAAGTTTTTTCAAACACTTGGCACACTGACAGGTGATGCTGGGAATGCTTGGCAAGGATTTTTTCAAAGCTGGTTTCCCCTTGCAGGACCGGTTTTTGTACGGAGCCTTTATAACTGTCTGGGACATAAGACCTGGCATCAGAATTTGTGAAGCTTCCCACTCGCAGGCGCTTCTTCACGGATGCAATCAGAGACATGATCTCTTTGGCAAGCATCCCTTTATCTTCCTCCTCTGGAAGCAAGGTGCTGTAGGAGTGCAGCTTTCCCAGGGCTTCCCTGCACAGCTGAGTGACCTCACGTAGCTCCTGGCTCTCTCCATGGAGCCATCGGTGCACAGTGGCCAGGCAGAAGGCAGCTTTGATGAAACTGTGCAGCTCCTGCTTGCTGGTGATGGCACTCTGCTCCTCCTTGGTGAGGAGCCCAATCTCAAAGGCTTCTTTGGCTTCAGACAAGTAGAACTCTCTCTTTTCTGGGGGACAGTCCTTGGAGTGACTGTAGGACAGCAGACACATCCCACGGATGTTCTGGGAGGGGATCAAAGAGGAATGAAGGGATTAAAAACGTTTCTTTCCCTTACACAATTTGAAGCAAAGCTTGGCTCTAACTGCCTGCTGCTATGTTTCCTGGAGGAAATAAACTTGCTCTTTTTTTTTCCTTTGAAATACAGCTGTAGTTCTAGGAGAAGAAGCACTCCTGGGGCTTGAAAGCCCATCCTCACTCTGTGGATAGCTTTCCCGATGGCAGTTCAGAGCAGCATATACCCCAAATATAACCAACCAAACCCTCAACACAGACACAATACCCTGTGTGATGCACTGTTTGAAAGCCATGTCAGAGCCAAATTTAGCAGCCTGGACTCTTCCCCTGCACAAATCCCACTTCCAGAGGGAGGAGTGACACTCACCACAGCTGTGAGGACAAACAGGGGGGTGTACTGGCTGTAGGCAGCTGCCAGCTTGCAGGCCTCAGCTGCTGATAACAAGCGGTGGCTGAACTCCTGCAAGAGGCCCTGATGAAAAAAAACCAAAACCAAACAAACATGAGGAAAAACCTCAACTCAAGAACTTTATTTCCAAATATATGGGGCCTGGTAGGCAGGGACAATCGTATCTTAAACAACAGCCTGGTCTGTTTCTGCTGGACCCTTTTTGCTAAGGTTGACCACGGATATGTCACTTTTGACTCCATAAATATTCTTTATATACACTCTATAAAATACTCTTAATATGTTCTTTTTCCTAAAGCCAGGCATCGTCCCATCTAGGTGTTACTGAACTGAGAGCAATGGAAGTTTCTTTAGTCCTCTCAGCACAGGAGAGGAAATGTGTGGGTGAATTTGAGACCACCTGAAGAATCCACACACTCAAACCCCAAACCAAGTCTCACCAGGTCAATGTCAGCATTGTTTTTAAAGCGTGCATAATCCTGCTCATTCATGGAAGCAAAGATGTCTGCCATAATACCCAAGGATGTGGCAATTCCCTAAAAAAGAAATCAAAATTTTTTGTAGTGGGCTTTTCCCCTGTATTTTGAATTTTACTGCTCTTCTGTGTAGAACATGCCAGAAAAGCAAGCAAACAAACACGCAAACAAGATCCAAAGATAAAAATGGCTAAGAAATTCAGAGATGTCATCTTGGCACGATTTCACTTGCAGGAAGTGTAATCTGGAAGACCTGATGCCACCTAAGGGCCTGCCTGGCCAAATAATTTCGAAAACCAGGTATGCCTTCACAAAATTCACTGCAGAGTTCCCTGCTGCCGCTGCAATGGGGAACACAGAAATGTTCTGAGCTTGAGGTCAAGCTTTAAGACATGGCAAACAAGAGGTGACAAGGTCTGGGTTTGTGGGATATCTGATGCTGAGGTCCAATTATTAACCCTCTCCAAGCATCACCCGAGGACTTGCCAGGCTTAGGCTCACATTCCTGTTTAGCCACGGACACGTGGTGTGACTGCTGCTTCATCTCCACTGGGAAGATGAGTGCTGCCCAGCCTCACAGAGGTGTTAGGGACAGGCACAGTGGCACTGTGAGGTGTTCAGGTCCTGCAGGGCCAGAGGAATCCATCACCCACCACAGACAGTGCAGAGCAGCTCCGCAAACAGACGTGCTTGGGGGAAAAGAACTAGTTCTAATCCTAAGAAATAGCTAAAATGTGTGGCTGCACTCTGGAATTAGTTTGTCCTTGTCAGAAGCACCAGAGGCATCCTCAGGGATGGTTCACTTCAGGGATGGTTCTGCTTAATGAGAAGTATTGATTTCATCCCCCTGCAGGAAAAAAGGTGTGGGTAAGGCCGTGCATGCACGCGGAAAGAACGCGGAATACAGACTTTGAGCTGCCTGTTAACCCTGGCTGAGGTGTGTAATGGAAACACTGCTGCTGAAGGAAACAAAAGACAGGCTGGAGTGATTATTGGATTGGCAGGGAGATAGAGAGTGGAAAGGAAATGCTACCTTTTTATCTGGCTGAGGAAGTTTGAAGTATCCCACGACTGAAGCCCAGATCAACTCTGCTGCCTCATACCACATCCCTGAAATAAACCAGAAAACAGGCACTGAGCAGGTGACTTCCAAGGACGGCTTTCCATAGCTTATTTTACACCTCAGGTCTTCAGAACAGGATAAAACCATGCCATGGCATGTTTTGCTTCAGTGAGTCTGCATAAACACCCATAAACAGTGCAGAAACAGTGGCTGTGCATAAACACCCATTTTGTTCTCATAAAAGACTTCAGCTCCACAGTCATAGAAGATGTGGTGTCTCAAACACCACATTTTTACATTTTACATTTTTACATTTTACATTACATTTTTGTGTAAAAAGCCCAAAATCAAGGCTGTTGCCTCAAGTGCCAAACCCTGAATACAAAAGTCCATCCTGCTGAAAATCAGGGATTTTCCTGTCTTGAGGGAGGACATTGCTGGGATGTCTCTGTGATAAACTACCACCTGCCTTTGGGAATAGTGAATTTGGGACAAGCATTAGCAAACATGGAGTGGCACAGGGAAAAAAAGGAACATTTCAGATTGCTCCGTGCCTTCAGGTGAGATTAGTAATAAAATGATAACTCCTGCAATATGTTTGCTTGGTGCATGGCTCCGGGCCCTTGCTGCAAAGAGATGGGTGTGCAACTCATCCTCTGTTCCTGTTTTATGGGTACAGGGTGTTCACCACAAGCCAAAATTCTGACATGTGCCCAGTGAAACATTTTACAGGGTAAAAAAAAAACAGGGGGAAATCTTGAGTGGAAGCTTTTAGAAGAGAGCCTCACCAAGCTTTTGCAGAATCTGTCCCCTGATTTGTAAGCAGACTGCCTGAACGAGAATCCGATCGCTCTCCTCAGCGTATCGCCAGGTTCCTGCAGGAAGAGTGGGAAAACACGGCATGCAATGAAAAATATTCCAGTCATTCTAAGCCTCCAAGGGTAACCTGCATCCCAGCAAACTGCCAGGATTCTCCTCCTTGCGTGGAGGCCCTTTCCATATGAGAATCTCAGCTTCTCATGGAAAACAAACCAACAAGACCCTGAACTGCCTCAATTTTTGAAGCTGTATAGCAACCTGAACATACCCACTAAAGACACCCTGAGGAAAGGAAAAAAAAATGTATAGAATAAAGTATTTATTTAGTTTGTAAGATCAGTGGGAATGTAGAGGATGACCATTACTCCAACAACCTGGACTTTTGAGGGGATAGAGTTGTCTTAGTTTTCTACATCACTCACTTGCTTGAAATTGCTCCACAGGTTAAACTTTTCCATTCATTATATTTTCCCACCCAAGTGAAGACATACAAGGAAAGAGAAGTGTGATGTAAGGAATCATTACTGGGGTTGGTTTGGCTTATTCAAGGTTGGTGTAACTGTTAAAATTGGGAACAAAAATGCCACCAAAACAGCAAGTATGAAATTGGAAAAGAAATGTATACATACCCGTTGCTCCATTGTCATTAATCAGGCTGCTTAGGATATATTCAGCTTTTAAAAGTTTACCTGATTGAAAATTAAAGGAAAGGAAAAAAGATAGAAAATGAACATAAAGATGTATTGTGGTGTGACATGATACTCGTCAGGTATCACCTGCACACAGAACTGCTGCTGTCCATAGTCAGAAATGCACCTGCCCCACCTTCTCTAATAGGTGGTTGCACAATAACATGAAATTGTGAAGGTATCTTTTTTATTTTACACATTATACATTCCTGGAAGATTGTTGGGATTCCCAGCTCTTATTTCCCTCCCAGAAGAAAGCAGTCTAGCCTGCTTCCTTCAGCAGCAATGCTTCTGGATTCTGTCCCAAAGAAACATGGGCTTTGGAAACCCATTCAGGTCTGACTGGGGAGTGGCTTGACATCCCACCATGGAAAGCACAGCCACGGGAAGATGTGTTAAAAATCCTTCAGGTATTGTCCATGTTACAGGAATGATGGAATTTTATTTTTTTTATCCTGGAGGAGTTGTAATCTGCATTGTTTGCATAGTTAAGTGGCCTCACTGAAAAATAAAAAGCAGCTGGGACAGTGTAGAGAAAATGCCAGGATTCTAATTTCCTTTTTCAAGGCCCTTGCTCAGGAGTACAGCAATTCAGATATCCCTGTTTGAAACCAGCAGGGAAGATTTGTTAAGGAACAAAAGCTCCAATTAGTATTTTCCACACCCTTTCACAATTTTCTCTCCTGCTTTTGCCTCCCAAACCCTTTATACCGGCCCCTTTGTGCTACTGAGAGGAGCCGGGAGGGCTCAGGGGGGCCGGGAGCGGGAAGTGCGCTTGGAAAGATGGCACTGTGAGCGTGTCACTCCCAGCGAGGGAGTGTCCCAGTGACTCCCAGTGTGCCGTCCCGAGCCCAGGAGCTGCTGACGGGGCTGGTACCTGCGTTGAGGGCGAGGCGAGCCTGGCGGATGAGCAGCTGCGGGCTGATGGGAGCGCCGGGATGCAGGCGGTGCAGCCCCTTGGCGATGCGCAGGAGCCGGCTGGAGGCGTCGATCCAGTACAGGAAGCGGTCAATCAGGAACACCACGGCCGTGGCCGTGCTGCAGTCCCTGGCCAGGATGGAGGCCTTCAGATAAGCCTGGAAAAAACAACAAAAAACCCACAGGCGGCCTCAGGGAAACTCATCTCCAGCGGCTCGGAGAGCTGGAAAATGTTCACCTGCAACAACCCTATTCCTCGTCCTGTTTTTATTTTTAGGCTAGCTATTTAGTTTGTTTGAGTTGTAGATGTAATTCTTGATTTTTTTTTATTTTGGGGCGGGGGGTCTTTTTTAATTGTCTGATATTTGGAACTGCAGAACTTGGTGGTCTGCTGATGAATTTAAGTCATGCCCAGCAGCAATTAGTTGAAATGGTGGGGGTGAGACTGGGAAGGCTGGAAATGGTCACTGTAGCCACTGTCCCATCTGGAGCTCAGGCCATCCATTCCTCTACACCACAAACAGGTAAATAGGCCAGGAATCAAATGTTTTCACCCTGGAAAGGCCATCCTTGATGAGTGTCTATGAACTGCCCTGGATTCACACAGCATCTCAGCTATTGCACCCACATGGGAAATTACCAGAATTCCTGAGATCCTTGCTGTTACCAGGACAGGAGGCCATAAATGACACCCCTGGGACACATACAGCCCCATCACAGATGGAGAAGGCCACGTGGACCTGGGGACATTTGCCAAAAGCCCAACACTTCCCATGCTGGGCAAGGCCTGGTATTCCTGCCCTGTGGAGTGAGGAGGTGCTCCACACACTGACACCCAGGAGATTGCTTTTCCAGAGACTGCCAAGAAACCTTTGTCCAAATCTCCACCAGAGCATCAAGTAGCACCCTCTGAGGTGTGCAGGATTTACATTCCCCATGTCAATCTGGGCAAGAGCCTATGGCACGAAGGCCAGCTTGCAGCACCTACCCATGTCAAGCATTGCCCAGCATGTTTGCACTTCAGCATGGTGGATTTGTACAAATTTTCTTCTTTTTCTTCCTTTTTCTTTTTTTTTCCCCCTTTCCTCAGCCCGAGTTGGATTTTTTAAGAGGATGGCACTTGAAAAGGATTCCTGAAGCTCCCAGGCACAACTCTGCTTGTGTCGGCCAACAATGGAGGAATCCCCCTCTCCAAGCACCTGTAAACTGACACTGCAAACCAGCCATTCCAAATGCTCATCAACAGGCCATATATTTAAGCACAGAGCATCGCCTAATCTATTTTTTTTCCTCCCCTTCTTCCTTTAATAGATCGGAGCACAAAAGCCTGAGAGAGGGTGACCTACCAAACAAAAGGGCCTTTGAGTTCCTAGGAAAAGTAGACTTGGAGGAGGATGGAAGGAATCCAAGTGGCCCTATTATTTCCACTTGCACTAATTAGACATTTTTCTGTCAGCTATTGAGCACTGCTGAGAGGCCAAACTCACTGAATTCATTTCTAAAGTGTTTACAGAAGTTTGCATCTGTTTGTGTCTCTTCAGGAGGAAAATAAGCACTTCAATAGCATTGTGGAAAATCTAAACGAAGCATCCTATTCTGAAGGGCTTGGCAGTCTTGCAGCTGCATAATTTAACTCCCAGCTCAATGCCGAAACCTCTTGTGTCCCTCTCCAAACCCAAATGGACACAAAATGTAGAAAAGTCAAGCCAGGGGGAGAAACGGGGCTATTTTTTTTTTTTTTGGGAGGCAGGGCTGCATGCTGTGTGGCACACAGCGACACGGTTCCGTGTCAGCCTTTGCAGTGACGTCCCCTCCCTGTTCTGAGCAGGACACCAAGAAATTAATACCCGCTCCTTTCATCCCCTGCCAACTCGTGTGGCTGGAAAATTCCTCAGCACCTCCAGCGAGCGCACCCAAGCCGTGCACAGGGAGATCCTTTCCCAAAACACCTCTCCAAGGTGAGCCGGGGCAGCGGCTCCCTGTCACCCAGCCCAGAGCCGGGGAAAACCCTCTGGCTCCCAGCATGTCTCAGCCTGCTCCAGCACAACCAGAAACTGGCAGCCTACACAGATTTACTCACTTTCTCTATTGCTTTAGGCACATCCAGAGAGAGAGAGAGAGAGAGGGAGAAAGAGAGAGAGAAGGAGCGAGGTACGCGCACTTTGTTTTCACATCTGTGCCCGCGACGTGAAATGGATCTGCCTAATTGAGTTTATGACACAAAGGGAACCTCGCGGCTGGGAAGTGGAATCAGGTGGTGGGAGAATTAAATTTGCACCGGATTTCTATACACGGGACCATTGGGGGAAATGCAAAGCAGCCTTTAGAGAAGGGGTCTGGCCTTAATGGCGCTGAGTGGGAGGGTGTGCGGTTCGCATGGCTCCCTGCATTAGCGGCCTCAGCTCCTCCTCGCACCCGGGCTGAAGTTTGGGTCCCAGCTTTGGGTTCAAAGCCACGACGCCTCCTTTGCATTGACAATGGGGGCCGCTCCCAAGAGAGGGGAGAAGCTCAGAACCGGGGCCATCTGGCACTAGGACGGGCAGGAAAGCGTCAAAGGGAAATTATTGGTGCATAGTAAATGAGGACGAGGAGGAGGGGAAGGAAATAGGGGAAAATCTTTATGTGGCAGCTGATGTAAGAGGAATTACAAGCCCAAATAAATGAAATATTGATTTAATCCACTCTCTCAGCCCTCTTTATAAAGCTAAGATCCCAGAGGCAAGCCCTCCTCCATAGCCTGCGGGCTCAGGAGGATGCCCTTTGGAAAAACGCCTCTACAAACAGTGTGATTAAAAGCAGGGGAAAGAAAGATTTAATTTTGCACAGTGTCCCCACAGTTTTGTGGATGCTTTGGACTTCTGTGTTTGCTGATATCCACTTGTGTCGGACTGGTTCAGTCCTAGTTTCATTTGTGACTGCAGCCAAGATTTAAAATCTTTTTAAAAGGCCACAGATCTAAGAGTGGACGGCAAAGGATTTCTAATTCCGTGCACAAGGCAGGAGCTTTGGAGGCACGCACGTACTTCCAGGTGCTTTAGTCCTCTCCCAAGAGCTGCTCCTAGTTAGCACTCCACTGAACCCTAACAAATTGCCCGGTTTTCTTTCCCCCTGTCAGATTAAACACAGAGCCACGGGGCCGATGGATTGGGCTGGAGCCTTTCCCCCTCTTACCCCACGCGCCGGCAGCAAAGCCCGTCTTTCCCAGGGACCAAAGCTGCTGTCACCGTGAGGGACTTCTCTATCAATCCCTGCCTTTCAGCTGGCAATCAGAGCTCACTCCACAAACAGCAGGGAGTTAAGCCTCCCACCACCTCGGTGATGGGCAGAAGAAAGCGTGTCTGGAGGTACAGACTGACACACGGGACAGTCACACAGTGAACTGAGGAACCAGCAGCTCCCGGACCCTTCCCTCTTGGCTCAGAGCAGATGAGAACTCTCCCCCACCTCGAACCTGTTAATTATCCCAAGTTATTCATCCTGCAGGCAATGAAGAGTTGGGGATGCAAAGGCAGCAGCATTAGGTCCATTAGGAGCAGTTCAAAACACCACAGACTGGGGCAGCTTTTACAACCAACCTTATCCTGCTTCGCCAACTGAGGGAGTCTTCTCGAGTGGGAGTAACTCCTGATTTCCTCAGGAAAAAAGAACAGCACCATTTTGTGATGAGGAGAGAAGGAGAACTCTTTAAGGAAGCTGCTTGAAGGGAGGTTCCTTGTATCCAACAGGGTAGCAGGGATTTGGGGGACCGTAATCACATGCAGGGTCCCTGCTTTTGATGACTACCAAAGACACGGATGTGCCACAATCATTTTGTTGCCCTGATTTGTTCTGGACCACTTATAAACCATTGTAGCACATTAAAAGGAGATATTTTAATACTTAAATATAGCAAAATCAGAAGACAGAACCTCACTGAGGGAGCAACAGCAAGGCCATTATCAACATCTAAAAATGTAAGAGACTCTTCCCTGAATCTGTGTCCTCAAAACATTGATCCACTTGAGAAAACACAGTCTCAGGAATTTAAAGTTGAAAATACTCCAGGAAGCTGCCTCTGACAGGAGTAAATCCTACCCATGAGCAAAGTGAAGTGGCAGCCCTACACAAACCCAGGACCCAGCCTGCCTTTTAAAAAATTTTGATGGTCCACATAAATTCTGCTGTAGTTTCCCCAGGCAGGCAGCAGAAGCCAGAGAGCCCTGTAGCACCAGGGCAGTTCACCCTGGACAGCTGAAGCTCTCCTGCCTGCACCTCATCTCTGACACTTCTCACTTACAAAGCCCCCGGGAGGCTGCAGTGCCGTGATTCCCTCCTGGTTTGAATTCATCCTTCACTCTCCGTTTCACTGGGATCACCCAAGAAGAGCTCTTTGGAGGCAGGTAGCAAAAGGTCAGCCTCAACAACCGAGATCCCAGGGCTACATTTAGGTCTTTAATTCTCCCGTTACCACACCGACAGTTAGAAGGAGGAGAGAACTAAATCCTCAGCCCTCCTTTAGTTCTTTTTCAAAGGCTCCCAGCTCTTAAGCGCCACACACACACCTACAGCAGCTAGGGCACGTCCCTTGGAATGGATTCCCTAATGGCAATCCATCAGCACCTAATTAGCCAAGGCCCAGCCAAGGGCTGCAGGGCCTTATTTTCACTCTTTTCAATATTCCCATTAAATCCCATGAGATTCCAGGCTAGCAGGGCCAGGATCCATGCTCCCCTATCCACAGCAGGGAGCATGGAGCCAGCCTGCACAGTTCCCTACAGAGGGACCAGAGTAGCCCCACTCTTGGAGGCTTTTCCTTTTGTATTCCCATTGTACCCATCCCAGCAGATCCTGGTCCATGACTGAATGCAGGAACTACTGATAGGTATGATAAAAATGAAGTAAAGCCCCACACCATCACTATGGGTTTGCAAACGGGTAAAAGAAAAAAAATAGGAAAAAAATAAATGAAATAATTACATAGCATGAATCATCCCACAAGAGAACTATGTGTGTGCATAGAGTTGTCCTTCAACTAAAGCCACAGCAGGTTTTTTGGGATCAAAGCTTCCGTGAACATGGGCATGTTGCCCTCTATTGGCTGCTCACCGAGCATTAGGCTAATTCCATCTCTTGGGAAAGCAAAGATCTGCAGGAAGGGCACCCCTGGCAGCCTCCCTTTGGGATCTGCAGCCCCATTCTGAAACCCACAGTGCACGTGGTATTTAGAGAGGAAAAATAATCCCTCCTTCTTTATCCCTGCCAGCAAGGATGCTGCGACAATTCTGATTTTGCTTTGCCTCGTTAAAAACAAAAATCCCAGTGTTTCCCAGCTGTGGCTTTGGATACAGATGTTGGCTATCACCCTTTGAGCAGATTTCCACTACGGGGGCTGCAGGAAGGGCTTGGGTTTCAGCGAGAAAACGTGGAAAACATTGCATTGAGCTTGTTGAACTGTGGTGGCCTTCGGGTGGTGAATCCCGGCAGAAAAAAGAAAAAAAACCTCTAAAATTCAAACCAAACCCTGCACCTTCGATGGGATGCAGAGGGGCACTGAGCGTCCCCCAGCAAAGATGAAGGAGAGCACTTAAAGGAGCCGCAGGTGGCTTTGCCTTCCCGATGTGCCGAAGGAGCTCAGAGCTGCAAGGCGGATCCCACTTTTTTTTAAAGTGCCACAACACCGAGGCAAACCCTTGAAGCTGCAGCCTAATCCTCTTACTCCCTGTGCCTGTGCCGGTCTCATGGAGCTTTTCAGCCCCCTCCCAGAGCGAGACATCCTCACACACCGCGGTGACAGAGAGCCCTGGTAGCCAGCGCTGCCTCCTGCAACAGCACCAGAGTGTTATGGTAATGAAGTGCCTTTCATTCATGGATCTCAAAGCACTTTTTAAATGTAATGAATTACGGTTTATGAGCTTATTCTGAGCGTGGCAAATTAAAATAAACAGAGACGAAAAATTTTAAAGGTTTTTTTTTTTTCTTTTTTTTCCTGAACAATAAATTGATAAAGACTTCATTTTTTTTTGTCCTTCAGGGAATTAAATTATCCTTCTGCCCCTCATGCAAAAAAAACCCCAAAACCAAAAAAAAAAACCCTCAAAAAAAAGGAAGAAAAAAAGTTGCTCAGACTTTTATCTTTCCTCATCACACTGTAATCACTTCTCTTCAGCCTCATTTCCCCCCCCCAGCTTTTTATTCAAAGAACCAAGGCAGCCTTTGCTCTGCCTTGAAATTTTATTTAAAATAAAAAAGAGGGGGGAGAAGGAATGGATGAAGGGGAAAAAATCCCTTTTCCTGACTAATACTAATAATACAGGTCAAAATGTCAGTCTATCTACAATTAAATGGAAAACAAAAAAGGTTTTCCCTTTTTCCCATGGTACAATGGCACTGGAATATAAATTACCGATGAAGATGAAATAATACTTCAAAGCACATGGGGAAAGGCAGCACAACGTTTACAAAGTATTTTCCACCACAGGATGAAACATTGGAGACAAGGGCAGCCAATGGACTTCAAGGGGTGTGGGTGAATAGTCCAAAACTAGCACGGAGGAGGATTTGAGGTCCCTATAGTCTCTGACCCCACGATAAGCTTTGTTTAACAGGGGCAGCTGCAGTTATCAACAGATGTTTCAGCAATAAATAATTGGTATCATCCTAGAAAAGATCCATCTACCTGGGGAGAGGGCATAATGCCACAAACACTGCTCCACTATTACAGCCACATTAATCTCCCATCTAGCCAGGTCTCTCGGGGAGCTTGCTGCAGGTGTTTATCCCGGGAGGGAGCACACAAACGCTCCAAAGTTAGAGAGCTGAGCTGGGATTGTAAAGGAGGTCAACCTCTGCCATAAATTTCTGTCTGAGGCCACACACACCAAAGGCAGAAAGAAAATAAATACCCGAGAGCAGCCACTCCCCGCCCTCCCCGGGGACATGGAGGAGCCGAGGGGACGCTGGGGCTCCCACTTGCCGGCCCTGCAGTCGGCTTTGCTCAGCTTCTCATTGCTCCATGCTGTTCACAGGAATCAAAGCTGTTCCCCAAGAAAACCTGCTGGCCTCACTGAGGCAGGGATCTCCGGGGCAGGTGAGATCTCCTGTTGGAGTTAACAACAGGCAGGAATGGGACGGTGTTGGCTTCAGACATGAATGACAGGAACAAAGCCCCCCATAAAATTCACAAATCTCATCTTTATTCCTGTCCTGGCAAAGCCCTTAGCCCACATATTACATTTACCATGCAAAAAAGGTGTCCTCTATTTGCCACGTGTCTGGCATGTCTCTAGGAAAATCAGAAAAGCAAAAAGCAACCCACATTTCTTGCCACTTTCTATTCTTTAAGGTCAAACCCATCACCTTAAGGGATGGGATCCCCAAGGACTTTTGGGATTTTGCAGCTCCTTACAGAGCCCTCCTTTACCCACAGGAAAAATCACATGGAATCCTTGCCTTTCCTGCCTAGGTTATGGCCTGCTTTGGTCCCCAAAGGGATTCTGCCATGTAAGTTTTTGAAAGAAGAGCAGGTGATGAACTGTGCAAGCCCTACTATCGTGAGTGATCCTTACTTGCAGTGCAGAACTAAACGAAGCACAGCACTCTTGTCAAATGAGTGAGTTTTCTAAAAAACATTATGTGAACATTTGGCATTTCAGTGTTATTATAATGACAGGTCTTCAGGGAAGAGGGAGGCATTACCTCAGTGGAGACAGAAGCAGAACTGCCCTGTGAACCCCCCCGAGCACCTCAGCAGGACATTTTACACCACAGGTGTGTTGAACTTCATACCAGCAAGTCAGGGAGCCTGGCGCTGATCATATCTTGCAGGTTTGTTTTGTCTTCTGGGCCGAGGTCTTGTTTGTACTGCCACTTCTCTGGCACAAAGGGCCACTTCATTTCCTTTGCCTCCTCCAGAAGGCTCCTCAGCTCCTCAGGAAGCAGAGCTGAAAGGGTCAAAGAGCAGGTGAGGATATTGCAGCAGGCTCAGCCGCAGCACTCGTGACACCAATCTCTCAAAAAGGCTTCTCCCAGTTGTTCCCACCTCTCAGCCCTCGCCACCAGGCTCGTGGGGAGGGAAGGGGAGCTGGCCTGCCATCCGTTCCCCTTGGCTGCACTGCCCTGCAGGTAAATGGGAGCCTCCAGCCATTAAAAAGGCTTTTAGCAGGAAGTCGTGCCGGCTGGGGGCTGCCTGGGCGTGAAGAGCTGCTCCAAAGGAGGCAGGAGGAAACCTGTTCCCCTGTGTGGGGAGAGGACAATGGGGTCAATGCCACCGAAGATCTGTCCCCCTTGCTTAGGGGGACATCCTGGAAAGCCATTTCCAAGCCCAGAGATAAACCTGGACCGTCGATAGCAATCAGATAGAAATCTAAAGGGTTATAGTGAATATTAAGCACAAGCTCTTGAGCAGTTTGTCCCGCCCTGCTCCCTCTCCATACTGGTCCTAAGCCACTCCATCAGCTTCAGCTGCATCTCCAACCTGATCCAACCAAGGAGGCAACTGCTAGGAACACACAGTCAGAGATTTGGGCTCGGATCTGTCCCTTCCCTTCCTTTCAGCCACAGTCCACATTCATTTTCCTTGCAACAGGGGTGATGTGGACGTGCTGTGCCGTGCTAACCACTCGGCTGGGCAGCCTCTCTGGCCAATAAAAGTGGATTAACAAAGATTATTGACCAGATGGGGTTAATGGTGATCATCAGCTGCAGATCTGGCCCCTTCTGGCCATTAATCCCCCGAAAAACCCCTGCTCAGAGACCATCACTGCTTTAACGAGGCAGTGCAATAAATGCATTGCTGCATATTTTTTAATCAATCTTTTATGCAGGGACTGTAGAAAATGAACTTCATAAAAAGGACATTACATGCTTATATTGCAGCACGTTCACAGGTGGGGTTTTCCTGGGAAGAAACTGGAAACTGGATATTTAGGGCCCTCCTCCAGAAAGTCAAGTTTACAACGTTACCGCTTTTTCCTACCCACATTTTCTCACTTGTTGCCGTCCCAAGGAAACATGGGGTTTGGCAATCTTCCCGTTACACGTCCTGGCTTAACCTAAAGCCCAGTTTCCTCATCCTCCTGAAGTAGTGCCTGAAGGGCCTCAGCCCTGAATGCCATGGCAAGGCGGCCAAGTGCCAGAGCTGATGGGAAGGGGAGGTCCTGCTCCCACCCTCCAGAAAACCAGTGCAGGAGCAGAGATATCCACCTCATCATGGGGATATGCATCTCTTCACAAATTATGGACAGAAGGTCTTATCTCCCATGTAGACTGAGCTTCCTAAGTCTTTTCCTAAGGAAGATCCAGCTCCAAGGACAAGAGTTTACCCTTGTAACAGAGAGCTGTTCTCACCGCTGGCAATATAAACTCCTTAATTAACGAAGGCTGAGTGGGCACAGAAGTGGGCTGGAATGATTTCTAGCCCAAAAAAGAAATAAAGAAGCAATCTAGACCCACCCAACACCCATCCTGCCCCCTAAAGTGAGATAAAGATGCGCTCCTCCTCTCTGCTCTCCCCACCATTTCTATGGATTTGGCTTTCAGTCCTTCCTGCTGCAGGTCTGAGAAAACCGGGGGGGAACAAAGGCAGCCCTGGGAGGAGAGGGGGGCGAGGAAAACCCCTCGGCCTCTGTGCCGGGAGGGTCCCCCCGAAGCCGAGAGCCGCCGACCTCCCCGGGCAGAGAGCCCCAGCAGTTATTAATGTCGCTGTCACCACCCCGCTGCTGGGTATTTTTCTTTCAGCTGATGGGAACACGGCCCTCGGAAAAGCCCGAGCAGCACTTGCGGCTCTGATCGCCCATTTCCTGAAGCAGTTTACCTGAAGGACCGTGTCTAATCGAGTGATTATAAGGGCACTGATTTACCTTATCTGGAACTAAACTGATTATTTCTCATACTTTGTGGTATTTAATAGGAGAAAAGGAGGGAGGAGGATGAGGGGGAAAAAAGCGCTACCTGATTAGGAGTTCAAGAGCCTATTCTGCAGAGCCATAATAAAACTTAAAAGAATTTGCTACGAGGAAACAAAGTAGCCTTTGTTGGAAACAAAAGAAGAGGAGAGAAAAATCTTCCAAGTATCCATAACAGAAACCTACACGCCACCCTCCAGCGCAAACAGACTTAGGTGCTTCAGAAAAAGGCACAGCTGACCTCCCAGCAAGAACAAGGATGCTCGGAAAAACATCTTCTCAACGGCTCCGCGCCCCGGGACAAACAAAGGGTTTTTAAAGATCACATTAACGTTATGGCCGAGCCACTCAAGCAAGGCAAAACTAAACATTATTAACACCAAACTGGAAAACGGGCAGTGCCGCAGATGTGTCACGCAAAGGGAAACCTTAATTCCGCTGGAATTAAGGAATAATAAATCCTCCTTTCACAGAGCCACAGCGAAACCGAAATAGCTGCTGGTTTCCAGCAGGTAACGCCAGCATTAAAACAAACGAGGAATCTTTTTAATACAGCTCTCGCTAAATGCTGCTTCCTATTCTGTTTTTTTTATTCCAGCCTTTAGCCAGCATGGATTTTCCTTTCAAGAGGGATATTGCAAAGGTTGTTTTTTTAATTTTTTCTTCCCTTGGACACCACTTATAGAGGTCACACACATTTTACAAGATAAAGATTCGGGCAATGAGCTCTTTAATATATGAGGAGAAGCTGACAAACAGACAGGGCCCTCCCCCAGTTCCTATGAAAGGAGAGGAAATATGTGCCCTTATTCAGAAGTTGCATCCTTTTTTTTCCTTTCTCTCTCTCTTTTTTTTTTTTTTTTTTAATAACTGAAATTTATGTGCATCAGCAAACTTTTGGGCATTGTTCTTCCCAAACCAAACTGTTCCTTACAGCCTCATGTTTACTGAAGCCTAAAATTAGAACTGACAGCAATTCACTGCAACAAAGTGGACTTCTTTCCCTGCCTGCCTGCAGCCCGCATCCCATTCATGGCCTCGAAATCCAGGCATCCCTTGACACTCATCTGCCCGGAGAAGAAAAATAGGGCAGGGCTGAGGGCTGGTGGAGTCCTGCCGCCTCTCCTGGGGGGAGCTCACCTTGGCACCGGCGGTATTCCCGCTGCTCGGCCTCGCCCGTGCCGGCCTTGGCGGCCAGGAGCGTGTCCAGAGCCCGCTCGCACTCCCGCAGCAGCGCGGCCACGGCGCTTTGCTTATTCATGAGAGCTGATCCCGCTGGCTCGGCCGGGAATTGCGTGTCCCCACGGTGATCGATTGCTTGGCAGAACACACGGGGTCCAAGTGAAAAGGATGCCTTCAAGGCCGAGGTACCTGGCGAACAAAGGAGGGGGAAAATGATTAACTAAAGTATCATCAATTATCTGAAAGGCTCAAGCAGGGGGAAATAATAGGGGAAATACATGAAAATACATGACAGCCTCGGAGGACTTTATTAGAGGAGTGTGTGAAATCACTGCGGGGTCCTGGTGACAGCGTGTGAGGGGAACATCTCTGAGGTGCCAGGGAGACAGGACAGGCTCATCAGTGGAGCCACGACATCCCGAGCAGGGAAGTGACAGTCGGGGCTGTGCCGAAGCCCTTTGCACCTGGGAGGCTCGGGCTGTCGCACACGGTTAGCCAGGATTGAATGGCAGAGAAGAGCATGCTGTGTGCATTTCCCAGACCACAGAGACCTTCTCTTTTACCCTGGGACGCCATCCCATGTGTGTATATCCCCTTCAGGTGCTAAGGACATTGCCACTAGTGAAGTAGGAAACCCCCACCATTTCCATGACGGGCATCTGGCTCAGTACCTGCCAGAACACTCAGACAGCTTTCAGAAATTAACTACAAGATAATATTTAGGGTTTAGGTTTTTTCCCCCACCAATTTGATGATGGTTTCACTTAGAAAACTGTTCCTGCAGTTCAAAGCAATACAGCCAGGAGCAGCCTCAGTGGAAATAGATCTGAAAGTGAGGAAACACCGATAGTGAAGGAGGAGGAAGGGGAGCGCAAAGGACAACAACACACACAGGCACAGTTTGCTCTGCTGACTGGAAACCACTCACATTTTAGCAACTACGTTTCCAGGCATTTTTTTCCCTTTCTGCTGTGGCTCTGGGACTGCTGCATCCTGGAGCTGGTGGCAGATAGGCTGTGCTCTCAACAGCACTGAGCAGGAGCAAGCTGCCAGACTGAAAAGCAGAGGGCAAAAGAGATGCACTCATGCGAAAGCAGAGAGGATCAGAGAGCCTGCCGTGGAAGGGCAGGTGGAGCAGGGCAAAAGATGGGATTCAGCAGCAAAGAGCCTCGAGGCAGGAGCTACTCAGTGGGGCTCTGTGGTTACTGTGCTGCAAAGAGAGAGAAAGGACAGCAACACACACGGAGCTCTTTGGGGAAAAAAGGCCGACTTTATTGTATGGACAGCCCGGATTTAAAGTGTGTCAGTGCAGCCAGGACAGGACAGGAGCTCATGGGACAATTGGGAAAAACATCTTTGGGACAGCACCTCAGGATGTATCCCACGGGAAAGACACAGGTGTTAATCTTTATAATGAATTCCACTCTGTTTGTCACCATGTTATCACCCTGGGAGACTTCCTCCCTAACTGAAGCTGCAGCCATCTTGTCAGCCTGGGAATGGACATGAGAGTCAGGAGAAATCCAGGCCTGAAAATAATTTCCAAGCTGTAATTCCCTAGCTCTCTAAATGTGAGTGTCCACAGGGCTCTGACTGACTCTGCAGACAAACGTCACAGAAAGAGGAAATTTTAAAAGTAGCTGTAAAAGGGAGACCCAGTGAAGGAGCACAAGCACATAAGAGAAGCTGGGGAGCACAGAAAACATCAGCCAGACAGAACCACAGATAAAAGCAGAAGGAAAACCTAGAGAGTGTTGCCCATCTTTTCAGTGCCAAGTAAGAGCCACCAGGGCCATCCACTGTAGGGTTTGAGCCAGATGAGCACAGCTTGGTCCTGGGATCACATCCCTGTGGATGCACCAGGCACAGGGCCCATTCAGGGGCTCCCGTCAAGAGCAAAAGGAGATGGGGACAGACACAGGGCTGGGGACAAAGCTACAGCATGGTCCAAAGTCCACTCAGGAGATGGGGCTGAACTACCTGTCACTGGCCAAGATGAATCTAAAAAAGGACACAACAATGGGATTTGCTCATGGTGCAAGGTCCAAGACATATCCTAGCTCCCAAAGGTCCTTTCTCCCTAAGGATCTGTCACAGACAGATCCCTGAACCCAAGAACAACAGCCAGAAAGCAGAGTCCTCTGCTCCACCCTGCCAGGCCTAGACAAGCTGACCCAGTTGCCGGGTATCCATCAGGGAAAAGAGGAGTCACACTAACACACCTATGCTAGTGTGGATTGCTCTGTTAACTGCACTGACATCTGCTAATTGATTTATCTGATTACCCAGCCCTGTGGGAAGGAGTGTGCATCCGTCCCAGGAGTACCTCCCAGGTTAGGATGAAGCATCCCTGCCATCTGGCCTGGACTCCATTCCTTTGTGTAATTGATTTCTCAAAAATCTCATTTTCCAGGGAGCCCACCCCAGTGACTAGCAAGCACATACACACCTGCCTTGGATCTGCTGTGGACAGTAGTCCTGGGAACTGGGATCTGGAAACTGCTTCAGGAGTGTGCAGAGGCACACTGGAGAATGCCTGTGCTCAGCTGCCACCTCACAGCCTGTAAATAAATGCTCATAAGCACAATTTGCAGTGCAGAGGCACTAAAGCAAGCAAACACTGGGATATTTACAGAAAATAACATGGCACCAGGAGCATCCAAGGGATGTGCTCCATTTCTCTGTGTTACAGCCCAGAGCCCCAAATCAGACTTTTAAGCCTAGCTCTCCTTGGGTCTCTACTGCAGGCAGGAGGGCCCCGTGGCTTTGTGAGCCACACAAGCTGCCACTCTCACAAAGAGCTGCTGGGGCTTAGCAGGGAAGCTCAAATTAGTGTGGAAGTGCAGCACTTGGCTTCCTTGGATTGGGAGGATTTAACTCACCGGGAAACTGCCGGGTCCCTAACAGTGATCTATGAATGTCAGCAAGCAAGGGATTTTTCTTCAAGTACATTTTTTCCAAAGAATTGAATAAACAGCAAGGACAGGGAGTAATAAAACAATGATTTACAACAGCAGCCACACCAAAGTGCTGGAGAAAAAGTGCAATAAACTGTACATTAGTACTCAGAAGGTAGAGAGGCTTTTGAGACCTATCACTGGGGACAATGACTCGCATCATAAAATCAGCTTAAAATGCACCACAGAGCTTTAAACCACATCAGCATCCTTTACACAGATGCCACTTTGCAAGTTGCGTTTTGTGACAGCTGTGGCGTTGAGTGACAGCTGGGAGGGGAAATAACCAGGCACGCAGCTTTCCTGGGGAAACACAGGACCTGAGCCTAAAGCCCAAGAGCAGAACAGCAAAAACTTCTGGAGGCCTTTAGAACCCTCTCAATGGTTACTAATCAGCTTTCTCCAAGTTCCCTTAAATCCTAACAAGTGGTACTTTAAGGAGATGGTTTTGAAGTGGTAAAAATTGCAGCTTGACATGCTGCAAAACTGACTGGGCAAAAATGTTTTCTAAGCATGCACTTAGAAATGCTCTTTGAAAACACATAATAAAAACCATTTTGCATCAGTTTGAGGATTTAAGCACTGCTTGGCGACAGAAAAGCTGCTTTACTCCTGTTTTGGGCAAAACCAGCTTTTAAATGCTTGATGTAATTGTTAAGACACTTCAAAACAGAAACGGTGAGAATAAAAAAATCGGCGCCATTTCTAATTGGAGCCTGGATTAAAATAACTCCTTGCATCAAATATGATGAAAAAAATATTACAAAGGTCTCATGGGATGAGAAAATAAATTTCTGTGGTTGCTCTCTAATTGGAGCTGGGGTTCAGAACAAGAGGGATGCAGGGAAGGATTGGGTGGGCTACAGAGAAATGATCTCTTTAATAAGAAATGGGCCATACTGTGACATTTCAGAGCCCTTGGGCTAGAAGACCAAAAGATCTGTCAAGAGAAAGGAATTTTAAGTTCTGCCATGGATGGAAGGAAGCCTGGGAGTCAATCTAGCCGGTTTAAGACTGCAATTAGCTCTGGAGGCTTTAAGAAAAAGAAGATGTAATTGCTGCATTCAAACTTCAAATGCAGCAAGGATAACAAGCACTGGTTTCTCCGACAACATCATTTAGGAAATTTTCCACAGCATTATGGTCCTGAAACACAAATTAGAGACCGCCAGACCTTTTCTCTCTGAAAATATATTATCCTAATTTTCATCTTATTCAGGTTACCCTCCCGTTCCAGGGAGACTAATGAAGAGGAAGCAAAGACCTGATGAGTTCCATGTGGAGACTACATTTATGGATTAATCCCAACAGGGAGCAAATAAACCTTATTCCCAGAGCTCTCGGTTGGGACTCGACACAATCAATCGAGGAATGGATAGTTATTTATGACTGAGGCTGTTTTGACTTTCAAATAAACATTTTAATTATTTTAAGTGTTATACTGGAACTTAGAATGTGAGCCCTGTCTTCATGGCACTGCCTTGCTCTCCTGTCTCCTAATCCCAAACCACTCCGGTCATTATGACACCGTGCAAATTACACTGATTTTCATGCCTAAAACGTTTGAAAGGTAAAATCCAGGGACCAGGCAAACTGGAGAGGAGGAAGGAGGAAAAGGGAGGAGGATCCCTCTGAGCATAAATAAAAGGAACACTCCCAAACTACACTGAGCCCAAAGAAAATGAGGTGCCCAGCTCTGAAACCCTTTTGTATTCAAGTTGGCACATCCTGATCCATCTTTGTATCCTGCTCTTCTCTGCCTGCTCCTACAAGCAATTTTAATAACCAAAGTACTTAGGAGTGTTTCTTTTCTAACAGTTCATTTTCAATTCAAGTACCTGCACCACTTGCACTGCTAGCTTTTCCCTCCTGCCTAATTTGGTGTGCTGTGGCCCTTGCACACACGGCTTCCCTGAGGTTAATGAAGCCACACTCATTTTTAGGGAAGCTCTTGAGGCTGTTAGAGTTTTTTGCCAAATAAAGACAAGGAGTGAAATCACAACAGAGAAGCAGTGCTAGGTCTGTTGTAGCTGTTGGAGTTATGGTCACACCTTCACTCCACATTATGGCATTTCACCTCCCTTTGCTTTCTGTAGGGAGACTGAAAACACTGCAGGAGATTGTCCTTGGAAAATCAGTGGAACATTTGGGCTGGTGTTTTTACCTGCAGCAGGTAAGAGGGAGCATGCACATCACACTCTGCTCTCCCTCCTGTGGATTTCTGCACGAGCCTTCTGGAGACCTTCCTGCCACTCCTGTCAAAAATATCAAGCTTGGCTTTATTTTTGGGTTTGGCAGCTTGAGGTATTAAAAACTAAAACATAAGGAAAAAAAAAAAAAGAGAGAAGAAAACACCGTCTTGATAACTTAGCAAAGGTTTCAATAATTAAGTTAGTATCATCTTCCACAGAAGGCAAATTCAGTTTCCCTGAATATTTCAGAGCACACACGCTTGTATTTTCCTAGAGCATTTATCTTTCTTTGCGAAAAAATGGTTTTAAAAAAATAAATAGATTTGCTAGGGGCATTATTCAGTTAGTTAGCTAGTTTACTTCTCTGGCTTAAAGATTAGATGTTTTCTTTTGGTAAAGCTGGCTATCCCAACTGGCTGTATTAAAATAAGGAAGAATCTCAATCAAAAAGCCTCTCCTAAGGCAAGCTTTCTTGTTAATATGCACCAACATGAAAGGGTTTCTTTTCATCCTATACAACTACAGTGTGTGTAAATTGCAGGGGGCTCATTGGCATAAATCTTGGCTGTGACCTCTGAGGTAAACTGGATTTACATTACTTTCTGACAAGAATTAAATGAAGGCCTTGTGGATATATGAACAGCCTTCTAGACTGCAACAGATGGGCATGAATGTGCTCCCTAGGCAAACTATCAGTGACATCTGTGTCCTCCAAATTCTGGTGGTCTCAGCCAATTAGCAGGCAAAAGGGAAAAAGAAAAAAAAAAAAAAAAAAAAAAGCCGGCCCCTGCACAGCTTCCCCAGGCAGAGCCGAAGCAGAAGTGCTTCTGTTTGGAAATGGGATCAAGAACAGCCTCCAGCAGCAAGGAGGTGCTTTGGGGGCTGCTCTAAGGCTGAGGTAACACTACAGGAAAAGCTGAAGTCATTAGGTAGAACAGATATTAATATTAATATTAGTACAGGACAAATCCCAGCCCCACCCAAGCCTGCGTGGGGCTAGGAAAATGGGATACCATCATGGATCGACACTGCTGTGGCCAACGATGGAGTCTTGTGTATCCTAAAAAGCAGAGGAGGGGCGAAAGTGAAGCCCAGTGCCTGACACAGCTAAGGCAGGAAAAGCCCCACTCTTGGTCCATATTCAAGCCCCTGTCTCTGCAGAAGTAGCCAGAGTTGGAAGGGACCCATAAGGATTCCCAAATCTTCTCCAAGCATCCCTCCTCAGCTGGATTGGGGTCTGGGGAGCAACCTGCCTGCTCCAAAGCTCAGGGCTTTGTGGAAGAGCATTTCAGCTGCAAACACCCTGGGGAAAATAAAACTTTTCTAGCTTTGTTTGTCAGAATGAGGTTTGGGATTTGGGTTTGGGATTACTCGGTGCAGCACAAGCACAGAGCAGAGGCAAAGCCACACAGCCACTGCTCACCACACTGAGGTGGCCAGGGGGGCCTCAGGGAGTCAAAACCCACCTCCAACCTACAGCAGAGCCATGGATTCAGGCCAGTTACACCAGAGGAGTGACCCAGACCAAGACAAAACCTGCAGCTTTTTCTCTGTCTCCCAGTTTTGAATGGAGCTGCCGTGGCAGGAGCAGGCAGGACCTCTGGCTAAAAGCAGAGCATGGAACAAAAGCACCTGTTGTTTCGCCCTGGTCATGACTTTTCAGAGAGGCCACTTGGGTGCTTTTCCCTCACCAATGCTGTCCCAAGTACTACTAGGGGATGTAAGAAAAAAAAAAAAGGAATAATTGAGGGGCAGATCAATAAATTAAAAAGTTCTAAAAAAAAGGAAAAGAAAAAAAGGCATAATGAATTTGGTACAGCACATATTTTTAGATCAAAGATGCCTTTGAAGTGACAAACCCTTAATCCATAAACTACTGAAGCACTTCCTTTCTCTCCCAAACTACTTGTTGTCAAATAAAATGGAAGTTAAGGAAATTATCTTTATCTGAAAATGGCCAAAAGAAGCCATCACCTAATGACAGCCTTGTCAAAATGACAATTGGGGAAATTGTTAGGAAGGGGAGGCCTGACTACTGGAGGAATAAGCTGGCTGTTTGCTCTAATCTGGTCAGGCAGGCCCCACACAATTCCAGTCAGCTTGCTGTGTGAAACAGCTAAGTCTTTGTCAGCACAGGCAGGGGCTGGAAAGACTTCTCTTTCATGAATATGTATCACCACCCTCCACGTCTGCAGAAAAAAAAACCCCAAACCTTCCAAACAGCAAAATTAAAAAAAAAAAACCCAAATCAAAACATAGAAAATAAATCCCAGAACAACAAAATCCTGAGATATGGAGCTGCACGGAAAGAAAAAGCGACTAAGCAATGAAAGCACACGTTTTGGAAGTGCAGCCAGAAGGATCCTCTTCCCAAAGGCTTTCTTTGCACTTTTATGCCCCAGCAGACTGGGATGAGGCACTTCAAGTGCACAAAGGCAGAAGGGCCCATCGGGGTATTTAATGTCCATCACTGTGGTTTATATTTGGCATTGGTGGCACCAAACCCCGGGCCACAGACACACAGGACGGAGCTCACAGGAATTCCTTGTGCGAGGAGGAATCATCCAGAGCAGGTCTTAACGCTTCCAAGGGCAGGCACAGAGGCAGCTTAGGATCAGGGGCAGAAATTTCCTAAAATTTCTGAAGCCTTAAAACCCAGGGAGAACCCAGGGTTCCTTGACAGGCAACAACACAACTGAGGTGCAGAGCAGGGGAGGGTGACTCCCCAGAGCTCCCAGTGAAATGATTTTCTGAGAGATGCCTGTGACACCTGTAAATAAAACCCTTCACAACACCTTGACTCAGGCTGTAGGAATCGTGGGTCACCTTGAAGCTCGGGAGATTTTTTTGCATCTGAACAATATTAAATCTCAAGCATTCTGCAGGCTGGCATAAAAGTGAGACAGGAGCCAAATGAAGTGTACCGGGCTGCTGGGGGAGGCAGATGTACAGGTCCAAAGTGCCTTAAAAGGTGAAATGGCTCAGGAAAGCATGGCAGAAAATCTGTGTCTCTGCAGGAATGATGCTGAAACTCCTGTAAACCCAAAAATGGGGTTTAAAGAAGATGGGAAAATAACACAGGATCAAACAAAGCCTATGCCTGCTGCAGAAAACCCAAATGAAGATATTTTAAGCTGTGGTGGGTTTTGTCTCTGCTGGAGAACCATGACATCATTAAAGCACAACAATGTCCGAAAAGTTACCTCCAAGTGCTTGCTGCTATCTTTTTAACTTTGCTTGTAAAACTGCAAACTGCATCTTGATTTATTACAGAGAGTTTGTGGTGATATCATAAACTTCAATTTTTTGCAAAATAATGACCAGAATATGAAAGTTTGGCTCCCAGCAGAGATATCAAGACACAATGCTCAGTTTTGAGGTTCCCAATATTATGCAATGTTTGCTGTAGACATTTCCATTTCATTAGCATATTCTCCTTTACATGAAATCCAGCAATGAATGCTGTCCCTGATCTAAGGCTAATCCTCTTTAAAGAGCTACAGGCTATATTACATGTGGCCACAGCCACGGTTATGCCAGGGCTGAATCACTTTGAAGCCTATTGAACAGTGTTCCCTTGTGAGACCATACACAGAGCCATAAACCAGTGCTCCCTGTGCTGTGAAATCCTGCTGTTTCCATGCCCAGGAGTTTCTGTCGGGGACAGAGCAGAGTCCCAGGCAAGGGGCTGCAAACAAGGAAGAGACACCCGGCTCCCTTCACCACCTCTCAGTGCCAATTTATGTGCCTACAGTAATAAAAATCCTTTTTTCCTAAACCTCAACAGCAACTGCCCCGTGGGAGGGCTTCCAGAACAATCAAAGGTGAAGGTGAACCAGACACCTGCTTGCCTGAATAGGAAGGAAGCTGCTTGAGCAGTTTGGGACACAGATATATCTATCTTTGAGGGAAAAAGAGAGAAATGTATGGTCATGTATGTACCTGTAAGGCTGCATTGCTCACAGCTTGGTGCCCTTGAATGCTATAAACTGAGATAATGGGACTGTGTTTTTATTGCCACACAGTGTGGAATCTTCAACACCTTCACATCTATACAAATTTAAAGGGAAAAAAAATTACAAAACAACGAAAAGATCACTATATTCTCTGGTCCTCCAACATATCAGCAAAATACAGCTTATGTTATCTTTAACTGTTCAAAATTACTTTATTTGTTCAATGAAGGGCACTGGAAAGGCTGGCTCTGCTCAGCCTGCACTGTGCACATGAAATTTTCTCTGTCTGAAGGGTGTCAAACCGGACAAGACAGAGTGGATTCAGCCTCCACAGTAAAACTGGGGCCTGATGAAGGCAACGTTCAACCTCCTCGCTATCAAAACAGCCGCACAAATCATTTTTCTTTGCAGCAGAGGGAGAAAGGGTCCAGAGAAAAAACCAACAAAAGGTGGAGGGAGCAGAAGAGGGAATGGGAAAAATAATCAGGAGGATGGTGAGAGGGAAGAACAGCAGACAGCAGGACAGGCAGGAAGCTGGAAGAGAAAGTGAGAAGGAAGAGAAAGGGAGAAGCCAGAGAGGCTCTAAAGGAGGACCAAGGGCAGAACGAAAATGAGAACTTCGAAAGTGACATAAAGGAAGTGCATCTTGTCAGGAATACTTTTCCTCAGCAGTTGAGATTCCTCATCAGTTTATTCAGGTCAGATGAGAAGAAAAGAGAAGTGGAAGAGTTCTTTTTCCTGAGTAAACAATCAGCAAAGAAGGAAATAAACAGAGGGAACTGTACTCTCTTGCTCCTCTGGAAGATCTCTCTGCTCATGGAGTGGAGCTGTTCTTGGCACTGGGAGCTAAAATTTCAGTGAACACACGTCCTCCCCATGCATCTCTCCTCCCTCTCACACTGACATCCAGTGGAATACAATGGGATATCTCTGGATTACACCTGCCTTCGAGAAGGGCCTGTCTTTTTCCTGTTTGAACATGAGGCACTGGTTGCTGCACAGTAAAAACACCTCACTGCAGAAGCTCACTACAGGCTGTTGCACACTCCATTAGGCCTTTCCCAACTCTTGGAAGGTATCACTGCCATTATTTCCATTAACTTACAAGTACCTCGACAACTCTTGCACCACCAAAATGAAATTTATGACTTAAAACGAAAAATAAAGAAAAAGGAAAGAACTCCTCCCCACGAACCAACAACTAATAACCATAAACCACAAAAATCCCCCAAAATGAACATTGTCTTCCCGTGTCCGGTCACACATTGCCATCTACTGGCTCCCACTCCTGTGCTCTGAGCGCTCGGCTGGTTTGGAATGAGAAAAGGGCTGTGAGCAGCCTGGGGCTTATGGCTCTAAATCAATCACGTCTCACTCACCTCCTCCTCAGTGACTCCGTAGGTCCCTGAAGGATGGTTTTGGGTCACCCCAAAAGAGCAAGCCCTGGGACAGGGCGGGTACAGCACCACTGTGCCCAGGCCCACCTGAGAGGTGACAAGACACAAGGGAGGCATTTAATGCCGGGAAAAGCCAGAAAAAGGGGTCATGTGCCTCGGGAGACACACCTGGGATACGGAGAGGGCTGGGCAGGACAAGTAACCACCTGCTGCACCCTTCTGGGGCTTCCTGAGCTCACCAGGTCACAGCTGCCACCCGCGTGACACGGAAACGCACGGCTGTGTCCACTCGTGCCCCGAGCCAGCCCTGCAGGAAGGCACCACCTCTGCAGGGTTCTGCCTCGAAACCAACCCTCAGGGCACTCAAACCCACGAGAGGTGTCACCAGGCCACAGCATCTGCTTCAATGCTCGCGTGGTCACACTAAGGGCAAGCTGTGCCACCGAGTGGGAACGCTGGTGACCAAAAACCCACGGGAATTGCGCTCACACACAGCATTTACAGGTGGTGTCACCCTTTGCACCTGAACCCCCTGGCAAATCTGAGCACCACGTCGATAAGTTTTGATAACCAGGTGTAAAGGCCAATTGTGACTGACAGTAACATAAAATTTCCCGGTATTTTTCCATTTCCCAGATTTGCCTGTGTAGGCTCTGCAGTTACAGGAATCAGCTGTTAGAAGAACAACGTCACAGCACTGTCACGGCCATGCCAAAACCACCTCTGTCTTCCAGCCTGAAAAATATTACATCAGACCAAACACCACGTTTATTTGCAGTTTCACTTTCGACCGAAGAAATTTCAGCTAAAAGAAGAAGTTGCTGTAATACTGGAATGACCTCTACTACAGCATGGAACAATTTTAGCAGGATGATCACCCAAAAACCCCACGGGCACAGAGTGCCTGTATATTTTTTTTTCTCATGAAGAGCAAAACTGGAGCTGTTTTCCTGAAGCTGGCAGCGTTTCAACTGACTAGAAACTTACTGAAGAGAGAAGCTGTAAATCCAGTTCCTGCCCTCCCCTGTACAAAATCACACAGAGCTATACAGAAATCACAAAACAATAAAGGAATATGTAGCTAATCTGACGTTACCCAATGCTGGGGAAAAAGAGAAAGGTCCTTACGTACCTCAACAGATGCAAGTATCAAAATAATCCTATCAGAAAAGTTGTCTCATGACCTGGGAATCAGGATCTTTCTGGAAACAAAGGGCTGACAGGAATTATAACCATCAACACATGCAATAAATGGCAGGGCTTGCGCAATTCTGGCTTTTCCTGAAAGCAGCAAAGTACTTTATTTTTCTTGTGTGTAGGCACACAGGCCCAGCCCTGCCTGCTGTAAAAAAGGCCTTTATCTGTGGGAGAAAGTTGTAATAATCTGTCGTCCTTCTCTGCTTCTTGACACAACTTCTCGCAAAACACAGTTTAATTACTTTTTTTTTCCCGGATGTCAAGGAGAAGAGCCCATAGAACAGCTGTAGTAGACTGCATGCAGATAAAAGTTATTCCACAAGAACTACAAAGGAATTTATCAGCCCACAAGTCATCTACCTGTTTGCTGAAGGTATAAAAAGAACCAACAAGTGGAAAACAATTTCTATGAACCAACACAGCCCGTGCCAAAGCAATCAAGCCCTCGGTACTTACTTGCCAGTCCCAACGCTGCACAAGCACAGGGAAGGGAGGACACGGAACATTTGGCATCTGGATTGAAAAGGAACAGGTTTGCTTTGCCACTTGTTCTATGCTGGGGGGTAATACGGATTAATATGGAAAAACCAAGCTGCTGGATACAGAATAATCCAGGGCTGTCTCGGGATTTGTAAAGGGGGAAAAAAAAGAGAAGTAAGAAAAAGTTTTCAGATCGGTTTAGACCATCGGGCAGGGAAAGATGAGGTTATTTCCCAAGGGTGGTGTAATGACCCTGAACCGGAGTTGCTTAAACCAAACTACCAAATATTTCAAAACAATCGATTTAAGATCATAATCAGGCCAACTGCTATGCTCATATTGCTCCGCTCACCAAAGCGTTTTACTCCTCGAAGCCTTCATTTGGGGATAAAACGAAATTATTTAATTATTTTGTGTGACAGCGGAGCCCGCGAAATTGTGATCCCGCCTCTTGCGATCCCGGCTCTGAACACATGTCCAGATGGCCCCGCAAACCCCGGACAGCCCTGTGGCTATTCCTTTAGAGTTATTCACTGTGATAAATAATTTAACACATTTTTTTTCCCCTTTCCTTTATTTTTAAGAGAAGTTCCACTTCCGGCCCGGCCGTGCCATCGGCGCCTCCCGCCTCAGCTCCTCCCGCTTCCCGCCCCAGCTCCTCCCGCCTCAGCGCTTCCCGCCGCCTCCCGCAGGAATTACCGGGAGTGAGGAGCCGCCGGAGCCCTCGGCAGCCGCCGGAGCCCCGCTCCCGGCAGGTGAGGGGGCGGCCGGGCCGGGCTGGGCCGGGCGTGAGGGGAAGGAAGGGGGCGGGATGGATGCGCGGGCAGGCCGGGAAGTCGCTGGGTAATTCCCATAGTTCGGTCCGGAGATCCCGGGCGGGGAGGTGGCACCGAGCCTGCTCCGGGTGCCGGGGCCCATATTCTTAGGGCTCCGCGTTTTTCTCCTGCATCTGGAAGTGAGGATAGTGACACTCGCCGGAGGAGACGATGAGGTGAGGTCGCGGCCGGTTTGACTCCAGCAGCAGGGCAGTGGCTGCCTTAGGGCTGAGGGAGAAAGCTACAGAAAGTTCCTTTCTCCTGGTCAAAACACTCTAGTAAATAGTAAATCCCTTTAGCATTTAGGTGAAAAAATGTTCAGTATGTTCAACCTTTAAGGCAGCGCTGGGCAGCCGTGCGGGGGATGCCTGAGGTGGTCATGGGTCTGAGGCGGGGTCTGTGGGAGATGCCGAGACCCGGGTTCGTCAGTGCGTGCTGCCCAAGCAATAGGTGGCTGTTCTTTCTTAATTAATGTAGCCATTTGTAAAACTCGCTAATGTGAGCTAAAACCACAGAAGTGTGTCTGTGGGCTGAACTGCAAACAAAGTGAAAGTGCTCAGTGGTTTTCCCCTTCACCAAAGATGACCTCCTGTAACATCCCCTTAACTGGTGCAAAACAAGGAAGAGCAGAACTAGAGACGGAGACAGTCTCTCCTGGCTCTCAGAGCTGCTTCCAGCATCCCAGGGCTGGGGAATCTGCAAGGAGGGGGGATTGATGATGGTGCCACCACAGCTTGTCTCACAGATGGCACAGGAATAACCTGCTATCAGGGTGTCTGTCTGTATTCCTGCCAAATGCACAGATTTATATTTCCTAGCTTGTTTTAAAGTGAGCTCTGCTGGAAATTCCGTGTTTCACTCATCATCTGTGCTGTTGCAGCCTTCTTCAGTAACCAAGCTGAGGTTGCTGAGATACTGTGTCAGAATTGTGGCTGCTTTTGTGCTAAAGGTGCAAAGGAAGTAGTTTTGTGGTTTCACACAGAAAACGATGCACTGATACACCACCTTTCACTACGCTTGGTGCTTGTGTGTAAAAAACACAACTCCATCGTCACAGAAAAAAATCGTCACTTAAATGCAGTGATGATTCAACTGCTCATAAAGCTCTGAATGGAGCTGCTGAGCTCCAGACCAGTGTGAGACACAGTGGGAACTTAGTGCAATGTGGATGTAGAAACATCTGCACTGTGCGATACCAGTTAAATGGCTGCTCACATGTTTCTCTGGTGAGTAACTGAAAACTCATTTGCTGGTTTCTACTTTCAAATAGCAAGGGTTTTCTTTTCGAGACTCTGTCTTAGTGCAGGAAGACACTGGCCTTGCATTTAGAGAACCAGATGACAGTCTTTCCTGAGGTGTCTCAGGTTTTTTTAGGATGCACTGCAGTCGCTCAGGCTTTGGAACAGAATTTGTTTCATAAGTATGTGGTCTCTGTGCTACATGTGAAGAACTTAAAAAACCAACACAGAACTACCAAACCCAAGAAAAGCTTTTCCTTTAGCACTTCAGCAGCAGAGAGCTGGGATTTTCTAACAGACAATGGGGAAATAGCTAGAGGTGGTCACAATTCCTCTTTTAGGTCTTGTGGATAGTCCAGCTTTTGCATTCACTCTTTATGTTGTCACAGCAGTGACTTCTAAACACTTTTTCCGTGCAAGAGGTCAGTTCAGACCCAAGAGCCAAAGGAGTGCTTTATGCATATTTGAATTACCACTGCCTACAGACTGTTGGTAAAAGTAACTTGACACCTTCCAGTCACGGGACACACCGAGAGCAGAGCACACAGGCCCAGCCAGTACTGCTTAACTCCATTGTAAGCCTATCAAGTAAATCTTACTGCTGAATGACATATTTCTTGCCAAGATAAATCTGCCTGTGAGATCCTCATGGAGACCTTGTTGGCAGCAATGGCCAGTCGTGGCTTCTGAGCTCCCACCCCTGTGCTTTCATCATGTTTATTGTCAGCCAGTTGTCTGGAAGTTCTGTCCAGCCAGCATAGAGCAGCACAGGGGGTATTTCAGTGCCGCACTGAAAACGGTGTGTTCGATTCCGCAGTGACTCCGTGCCGCGATTTCACCGCTGTCTTGCTCTGGGGACTCTCTTCATCATGACCTCTTTCGAGGAAGCCAAAACAGAGGAAACAGTGACGTGCCTCCACCTGACCTTCTACCACCCTGGGCAGGAGGAGAAGATGATGTTCCGCTGCCTGAATTTCTGCAATCGCGAGCAGGTCAGGGCGGACGACACGGCCAAGTTCGGCCGCGATTCCAGCGTCTGCCGCTACAACCTGATGGACACCCGCGTCTCCCGCATCCAGTTCTCCCTGCAGTTCTACAGGAAGCTCCACACCTCGGAATGTGGCTTTGAGATAAAGAACTTGAGCAAGAAAACCAAGCTGACTGTCAACCAAACAGAACTGGGTCATTTGAATAAAATCGACCTGCCCTGGAAGTGCGTCATCTGTTTTGGGGACTACCAGATCCTAGCAGAGATTCAAGAAGGGGAGTCTGTGGATTATTTTGAGACTCACTTACACTTGGCTGAAGCACCCATCTTACAAGAAAGGTGCCTGCCATCCCTGCAGCCTATACCTGAGAATGGAATTTCTCCTTCCTTATTTCTTCCCCAAGGCAAAAGCCCCACAGAGATTGATGAAAATGAGCTGTGCTAGCAGGGAGGAGGAGGCTGGATCAGGTTTTGGAGCCTGTACAGCTTCCAACGTAGACAGCTCTTACCTCAGTCCAGTGTTCTTGGTGGTGCTCACTGACTGCTGCACATCAGTCTTCTTTTCTTGGTGTTTTCAGCAGAGGCATTCCAGAACACTGTTCCACAGAAATGAATTCCTGCCGCTGCCTTCACTGAGGCCTAAGGACTCTCTGATGCCCAGAAAGGTGTGGGAGACAGAGTGTCACTCAAATCCATGGCAGCAAGGTCAACCCCAGAACCCTGGCTAGGTGCCTTGAAGGGATGTTTAACAGGCATTAATACAGAGCATGCACAGCAGCGTTGTGGTCCTGGCCAAGAGGTGACACTGTCTTGTTGCATATTGTACTTTGTGCTTTGCTTTGTAGACCAAATTCCAAACAGTATTTGCAAGCCTAGGTTGTAACTTCACAGATTTTGCAACTTAGAAACACTTTGTCCTTTTAAGCTTATGTTTTTATTAGCTTCAAAGCAAGTTTTTTTATTTCTACTTATTTAATTAACATATATATATATATTTTTTGCAAGTTAACTACTTTTGCTTGTCATGTAGACAAAGATGTAGCATCAATGATCATGGTCTATAAAAATCCACATTAATTTTGTAATAAAAGCATTTTGTTCCCCAGTAAGGATTTGCTCTATTATAAAAGAATTTCTGGAAAATAAAATTATTTCCAGGAACATCCAGATAAGCGACTGTCACTATTCCGGGCTTTCTAAAAGTGCCATTGCTCCAAGGTAAGAATTTACTTAAATACTTTCAATACTACCTCTACTCCTCTATCCAAAGCTCTCTAATAATATTCTTGTCTTTTAAGTATTTCTCAGGTTGTTTCAGTCAAGATTTTCTTTGTCAGCTTTTCATTGGCATTTGGCTTTTTTATTTTGTCAAGTATATTAGTTTGCTTGAAAGACACATTGGTAAGAATAGGAGTTACCCATTTTCTCATCCCTAATTATTAGGATGCATTTCAGCATTAATCATTCCAAGAAAACCATAATTATAACCGAGGATAGGAACAGCTGAGATTAAGGCAACCAACCACAAGCGAGAGAAAGCCATAGGAGAGGCAATGAAACTCAAACACAGCCTTATGAAGGATTTGTCTATTCATCTCCTCCTTGACAAAATTACTTTGTTGCCATGTTTTCCACTCTTGGAACTAGGCTGTGGTTTCCAAACAATGACTTGCACAGCTCTGTTCACCTGAGGTAAGAATGAACCACGTAAAATACACATTAAAAAATGAATTGTCTCCTATCACTACATCGATCTTACCAGCAGAAATTTACACAAGGAATGTTGTTTTACCTTTGAAGTGGGAGGGTACAGCCGCTCATTTCCAACAGGAGAAGGGCTCTATGATCCAAATTCCTCAGGTCTTCTGTTATTGCAGCTTGCTTAGAGCTTCCCTTCCAAAGCAACAGGTCCCCAGAAGGGCACTGTGGGATTCAGCAGGGCTCTGACACGGCTGCCACAAACCCATCAACAGATACAACACTGCCAAATGTAAGACTTGCTGAGAATTTTAATGACTTCTAAATTTGTACAGATATGCATTTTACAGTACCCTTGAATTGTTTCACATGAGCTGTTTATAGAATCTCTCAATTTCTCACATATCCACAAATATGGAGCATCACCTCAAAGTCACTCAGCGTGGTGCACTGAGCACTGCAAATGCTGTCATTACCCATGGCTACAGAACATGCCCGTCACAGAAAAAGCTGGAGTCAGCCTCCTCCTTCCTAAGTGCTTGCTCATCCCAAGGGCAGGACTGTCAGCTAATTGACTTCCTCAAGGCATGGTCAGGACAAGGTCACCTCACGTTCACTGGCCAGGAAAAGCAGTGACCGGTGCAGGGGAGGTGACAGTTTCAGCAGGTAAAAAACATGTTATTTACATGTTGAGGAAGTTGCCTTCCTTCCCATAGGAATATATTATACAAAGAAATATCCAGGAGAAGTCACACAGCAGTAGCTTAGGCCAAACCCAAAATATACATTTGATGTGTACAGATCTTTAAAGCTCATTACAAGTATTGCAAATATAAATAATGGCAGTAAAATATTTTCAGTGGCATAGCTGCAACTGAAATGAAGAGATGGAATGTTACCAACGGGATTTATCTGTTCTCTCAGGTTATATCTAATCCCAGTGTGCAGTATTTTTGTTCCTTATCCACACTGCAATGACCCAAGTATTCCAAATAGTTTCAGAATCTCTAAACCAACGACACAACTTTCACCAGCAGATTCAGTTCTGATGATGACAGCTCAGGCTCATTACTTATCACAACACGTTCCTTTCACTCCAAAACCAAGTTAAACCCTGTCACCCTTTTTCCATGGAAAAACGAGACAGCTACACAAAAAAATGGCAGAGTAGAATGGCTTTACTTTGGAACTTTGGGGAAAGCTTGAGATCTGCAAGTATTTTGCAGGTTCTCTTTTGTTAAAAAGTAAGGGGGAGACCACACAGCACAGGACAGCAGTGGTGCAGTCACTGAACACTTCCTTGGATTTCAGCCCATATTAGCAGGATTAACCATCCACTTTAGAGGCACAGGAAAGGCAGAGCACTTTAACACATTGTTAAAACATGATTTTTTCTTCTTTCTTTTCAAAATGCAGATATAGAAATTCAGTCTTTAGGTTCTTGTTCTTCCCTCCCCCAGTTTGCTCACTCAATGTTACTTTTCTGTAACTGTCCTGGTCCAGTGGAATTATAAATTTTGACAGCTGAAGAATTTTAAGGACCATGTAGCAACAGATGTTGGTCTGTTCAGGGGGGCTGGGAAAACAAGACTTTGGTCCTCCCAGTTCTCCACTGGTTAAAATTCCCATTTTATTGACACATAGAGAATCTGTATTTTATTTTATTTTTGTTTTTCTATCTAGCACACGCTAACTAAGTCTGGCATATTATACAAGGCAGTATCTTACCCAACCTGATGAGTTTTACTATGTTCATTGAGGTTAACCGTGCTTAGCATAAAGTAATTAAAATGGAAAAAGGACAACACAAGACTAGGAAGACTTTAACCTAGACAGGGGAAAATCTGCAGTTTGCCATGTGTCAAATTTGTTTTGCAGCTCTCAGCAGCTGAAGAGCAAGTCAAAAAGCACAGACTAGAAACAAAAAATATTTTAAAATTATTTCTCTATCTTCAAGTATTAAATAAATTATATGAGACTGTTTCTGAGATAAATATTAGGCCAATGATGAATTTTAAACCAAAATCAATAGAAACATTATCCAGAAAAAAAAAGGCAAGTTAAAATATAGATAAGTCAAGCTATGAAGCTTCAATTAGTGCAGATCATTTTATATTAAATCCAGATATCCAGAAATATACACAATAGAATCATCCCAGTCTTCACAAAAGTGGAGAAGGTAGCTGATAAAATTGCACTTAGTTCTGAGTTCACCCAGACAGCGAGTCATTCCCGATGCTCGCGTGGGAAAAAGAGGAGCGGGTTCCAAAAGAGCAGCTCGGCTTTGTGAGTCCCACGTTCCCCGCCAGCCTCGGGGCCGTGCGGTGCTGTCACTATCTGTCCTGGGCGTCGCCGTCGGCCAGCACGGGGTTGACGAAGCCGGCGTACTCGGAGTTGCCGTTGTCGTCCATCTCGGCGCTCACAAAGTCATTCTCCCACTCCAGCCCGTTGGAATCGTCGGAGGCCGAGGCTGGGTGGCTCCCTGTCTTCCTGCTGCTGTTGAATTTCAGCGCTGCCCGCAGGATGTCCTCCTCCGTCTTGGAGCGCTCCCGCACTGGGATCATCCTGTTCATGCCTGGCATTTAACACAGGGCGTGTGAGAAACACATCCTTGTGAGTTTTCATCTAACTTTTGTATTTCTGCTAGAAGAATCAAGGGTAAAACTTGGACAGATACTAGATTCAATGCTCTAGGAAAGGTCTGCAGCTTGTCTGGAAAGGGATATTTAATTCCAAACAAAATAAGGCTAAATATGGTTCTGCAAACTGCCCATAGACACCTAAGATTATACTGATTTTGTCAGCAATTCACAAGACATTCTCATGAAAGAAAAAAAATCACCTACGGATTGGCTAAAAGAAACAAACCCTTGCTTATTTTTGGTGAGCCTTTCAATAGTCAAGGTCTCAGCATTTTGGATAAAGTTTCAACTAAGAGCTTTTGCAGGTTTAGTCAAAGAGAAAGTATTGGTAACGATGAGGAAATGCAGGAAACACCTGTAACAGTAGGAATGAGGATAGCTGGGATACTCCTTGGAATGCAGCTCTAAGTTCCCACTGAATGTTACAGTACAAGTCATAAGAGTTTTCCCCAGAATATTTAAGTCAGACTCCAGACCAACTTCCACATTTTAAAAGGAAGAGCAAGCTCTTCCTTCTGCTCCTGGCTCACAAGAGGGCAGCATTTCTTTACCATTACTTTGGCCAGGAGTTGGCAAGTCACTTCCACATAATGCAGGGAAATTAATTAATTTGATTACTGGAGTATCCAAATAAATGAATTCAATATTAGGACTATCTCCACATTTATCAAAATAAGGACTTTTCTCAGTAAAAATGATTTACAGTTTAACCATTACAAACTTGTCAGAAATTCCATCAGAAGTTTTAAATCACCTTCCCTTTTGAAAACAACAAATTTACAGTGAACACAGCTTAAACTGTTCAACATCTTCAACTTTTGAGTTCAGGATGAAGCTGAAATGCAGGATAAATACCTTCTTCATCTTCCCACTCTAAATCCAAGGAGGTGCTGTCATCATTCCCACTCACTGATTTGGTTTTGGTCATCAAGTCACAACTGCTCTCCGTGTTGGGTGTCAGCACTGTGGCATCAGATGAAAGTCCTATTTTAAAATAAAACCAAACCATAACGTATTTTTAATTCTTAAATGTACTTGAATTTCAGGTTCAACATGCAAAAGTAAAATTCTAAATTAAGCTTTCATCGTGCTTTGTGGCCCTTTAAAACCTCAGGAATGCTGGAAAAGGCACTTCATCAGTTTAAAGAGTAATCAGTAGCTTATTAATAATCAATATCACTGAGATATTGCCTAATTAGAACTAGAAAGGAATTTAATAAGCTGTAAGCTGAGCTTGTATGAAGACTTGTAAAAAAAAGCAAAACCCAAATCAAGCCTCTCCTCCCCAAAAAACTAAACTACTCACAGTATTTCCTGAAACACAGCTATCAGTCCTCCACCTTAGTGCTTATCATGTGCTGTCACTAAAACTTACAGATAAAAGCTTATCAAATTGTTTTCCTCTAAACTGTTAGTGGAAATTTTAAGTACAGGCAGCCAAATTCCCTCTTGCACTTCATTAGGAAAAAATTAGGAATTAATATGGTTCTCATTACTTTGCCAAGGGATGATTAAAAAAAGCTATAAACACACATCTGCATCTTCAGTACAGGGTCCGGTTTTACAAAAAACGTTCACCACTATCTTTTATCTATCAGATAAAAAAATTACCAGGTTTTTAAATTACAGACAAATGTACACACATTTTATATTAGTGTGTGTAAACATAAAACTATAAATAATCTGTGTTGATCTAGAAAAAGCAGCAGCTTAAGGAAAGGCAGACTTACTACTACTTCGGAATGCTTCATACTGGAATTTTGTATTCCTTAGGAAAGGATCAAGATCTTCCTCTGCCACAGAACTGCAAGAACAATGCACAATTTTTTTAGCTTTAGAAACTTCAGAGGGTGCCCTCAGAAAGATGTTAATCCATATGCCCTCAGCTCTGCTACAAAGCACATACACCCTGAACTGAATTCTTTATAGAATCATCTGCAAAATGCCTTTCTATTCCTGTTCATCACATCCTCTCCCAGTCTGTGCTTCTGCTCAATTTTCCTGAGTATTTTCAGTAAAAAATTAATTAACTCAAAACAACTCTTCCCCTCTCTTCATCACTTTAGATGAAATCCCCTTAATTTTCAATTCATTTTTTAGGTAATGAATTAAAATTCTGCTCCTGCGTTCCTTTGTTTTTAAAATCTGGCAAGTTCTTACTCAGTTTTCACAGCTCCTGTTCTAACTGTGCTTCTATAGCAAAATTCCTCCTGTCCCTCTTGTCTTCCATGCATGAGTTTTTTCTAAACTTAAACACCATTCCACTGTAAATTTCTCTACTTTGTTTTCTTAGGCTTGTTTTTCCCACCACCACCACTGAACACAGAAGGTGGGACTGGAGAGACTTAAACTATAAATAAACACATAAAATATTAAATGAATAAATATAATCAGGAATATTCATAAAGAAACAGGCAGACTCTGTAAACCACTGACATAGTGTATTTCTACTGGGTTTTTAAAACAGGGTCCTGAATAATAAAAATATTTTAATGTTAGCTGAAATTTTACATATGAACACCTTCTTGAAATCAACCACTGGATTTTGTGGGTGGGTAAATATCTCTCAGTAGCTGGGACTAGCACTGTATGCAACAGCCTAATAACTCCAGCGATAACCAGAATGAATCCAAAATAACCCCTGGCTTTCCAGATGAGGAACAGGAGTACAAACAGTCAAGACTCTCAGTTATCACGAATAAAATTTGGTCTCTTACCTCTGGAACTCTCCATTATTAACAGCATGTGCTCTCTGCGTTATCCTGTGCTGCCTACGTTGCTATCAAGAAAAGCGAATTGTTGAAAAAGCTGAATACTCAAAACAGAGCTCTCAACACTTAATCCTATTTTATGCACCCCCCCCAAAAAAAACCCCATCAGTTTTTAGAAACCTGGACACCACCTCAGTCATGACTGTGCCTGTCTTGTCTCCTGTCTTCTTAAAGTATTCCCAGTGCACAACTAACACCTGGGTGATGTTTGATTTCTTTTGCTCCGTGCCCAGGAACAGCCACCCTGCCATTTAAAAGACAAATATTTCTTACAAATCCTTTTATCCCTGTGCAAAGCAGTACTGCCATCTCCTCTGGCTGTCTCCATCAGCACTAAGTGCTTCATCTATATTAATAACAGCTTTGCTGCCTTGCAGGGCCAAAAGTATTAATAACTCTGCTAATGTCAACTTCTCATGAGAATTGCTCTTTGCTTCGGGTGTGGGGAGGTAACTGCACTGGATCTAGTGTTTTTCAATCCCAAGATGATGATGGTGGGTTTGTTTCCTGGCAGACTTTGCACCTTGGGTATTTAAATAGTAGTAATTGCAGGTTGAAATGAGTAGATGGGGAGTGAAGAGAAAAAAGTAGAAGTAGAAATATCACATCGTGGTGGTTAGAGGTGAAAAGACTCAAGAGCGCAGAGAGGAACAGACAGAAATTTGGCACAACACAGTCAACAAATCTGTCAAAATCAATTACTGACACAGGCAACGATTTTCTTTTAGGATTTCTATACCCACATAACACCCAATTTAGATTATCTCTCCATTTTGCCAGGTCACATCCCAATATCCAGCACTGCCAGTTCCAGGACACACACCTATTAAAATTCCCTGCTGTTACAGACCCTGACATTTAGTAGGGCAACATCAGCAAGCCAAATGAGCTTTAAAAGAGGCCATGCTTCCAAGGAAAAAGCCATTTTCCCATTTGTGCCCACAAACAGCAGGGAGATGAGTGATGCATTCAAAAATAGCTTCCAGTTTATCTAGAAGGGCTAAGTGCTTGATGCATATCTGGACAAAAATGCTTCCTTAAAATCCTTATAATCCTTATGGGTTTTGAGGAGGGTGTTTGAGCAGGAGATAAGTGGTACTAATTTTACATGAAGAGGAAATTAAAATCTCTATAATCCATTCTATCCTAGGTCTTGACTAAAAGAAGTGCATATTAAAAATACTGAAAGACAAGAAATAGAGCATTACTTGCACAAAACTTCTACAAAAACCAGTTAATGCCATTTAAAAAAAATCTACTTTTGCTGGATTTCTATAGATCAAAAGTGGCAAGAAAAAAAAGCAGGCAAAAAGGTCAGGAAGAATGAACCCTCCCACACCCAGTGGCAAGGGGAGAGAAAGAAAGGTGAAGTGAGAGCTATACTTAGTGACATAAAAATTAGATTAAAACTCCAAAGCAGCGTCAACACAAACCACAGAGATAAGGAACAATACAGTGCACAAATATGTAAAGTACATTTTACAAGTCTAAATGATGTCACAATGTGTGCTCAGTTTCAGGGGTTTTTTTTACCCAAAACCCATCACAGATCATTTTACATTTAAGATCAGTAACTTCTACATATTATATAAGAAGAGTGTGAAGCTAATTATAGATTAAAATTATAACTCATTCAAAATCTATACTCGGCGACAGAAGCTGTTTCAGACAATTATGGTGATTTTTCAGCTGCTCCAAGCAGCTGTACTTTCAAATCTTGTACTTCTTTCTCTACTTTACAAACCAAAGCCATCTCCTTGTCATGTCTCCTGAGATGGAAAGGGAAGATCTGCACACATGGGAACAGGACAGAGGCTCTCATATATATTGGGGTCTTTTTCCCCCTCACCTCCAAGAGCTTTTTCTGCTTTGCTGCCCTGGCTGCTTCACGTTGTGCAGCATATAAAGCCTCCTCTTCTAGTCTTAACTTCTCCTCTTGTAAGGCTAACTGTATATGAACAAAACAGTAATGGTTAACAAAAGCAGAACCTATCTATCTTCCTATTAATAAAGCTGTAAGTGCAAGAAAACAAAAGAAAAGCAACTAGAAAATCAAAATAAAACAAAATCGGCTACAGCTAAAGCATTGACTGAATTTAACAGCTTCCCTCCCCGCAACCAAACAGCCCGAGAAATTTAGGTAACTACTGAATAAATGTTTATTGTTAGAGAATTGCTGCAATGCTTTTTCTATTTTATCATAAACTGCACAGTGAAAGATTTAAAGATTTTCAGCTCCATAGTTCATTGGCACTTTAGATGCAAGTTCATTCAGGTTCTACATTGTATTCCACATCATATTCCATTAACTGTTGCAACACTAAAATAGAATAACAAATGATGTGGTTTTTTTCCTTAAGAAAGCTGTGGAGAAAATTCAGCACAAGAAATGTTGAGTCAAGAATATTTCCCATTTGGTCTTGCACAAAAAAAAGGCTCAAATTTAAGAGATCCTGGTCAGAGATCCAGCCTATTCATTCAATTTTTCAGCTAAGAGGCTATCGAAAAGAACGAATTTGTGCATCTTGTAGACTGAAAAAATACTAACTGATGAACAAAACCCAATTGTTCCATGTGAGTGGAATCTCCCGGTGTCCGTGGCTTACCCTAACATTTTTTTGGAAGAAAAACTCTTTTTGCTGTCACTGTAACCACTTACCTCTGACTGAAGCTTCAGATCCACAACCCTCTGCTTCTCAGCAATGGAGTCGTAGTGTCTGTCTTTCAGGTCTGCAATTTCTTCCTCAGTCAGAGGCCTGGAAGCACGGGGGAAACACAAAAAAGCTCCATTTATTATTCATGCCTGACAACCCTCATTTGCACTTTAACATAGCTGTGTGGTCTTTCCTGACCAGTCCTCTAATGCAGATCCAATGGCTGAGCCTGTGGCCTGTTCCTCCTCAAAGTTCCAGTTCATTCAGGACAACGCTGTCTCTCCTCACTCTTGCAATATCTATTATTTATATCTTTATAGAAAGTGTATTTTCAAAATCATCTCTGCTAACAGAACTACTGGAACAGAACCATTACTGTCATTGCAGTCCAAGTCTCACTTTTTTTCCCTTAGTTGTTTTTGTCCCTTGTTTTTCCATGAGTTGTTTTTGTCCTTTGTTTTTCCCTTGCTCCATCTTGTTTAATATTCACAGTGGGAAAGCAGGGGGAAGGAGAGGTCCTCAGTCTCAAAGTCTTACCTGTGACTGCTTCCTGGGCTTTCCCCCTGTTAGAATAAATAAAAAAGAAAAGTCTGATTTTTGTAAAGACAGAGCACTTCCAAAACTTCCCTTAGCAAAGCAAGCCAGGTTCATTTCTGTTCTCAGACTGAGGGCACTTGCTGAGTCTTATGCAAGAGTTATACCAGGAGCAAATTCTCCTTTAAGTCTTCCCAAACACACTTTTCCTCCACACCTCTTCCCTTCTTTCTTTCCAAAGTCCATAGTGCCCCCTTCCTTAATGGGTTATTTCCCATACTCCCCAAAACCAATCTCTTAGAACTTTATCCAAAGTCTTAAATTCATATTCCTAGTGCAAGGAAAACTGAAAGTAAAATTAAAAACAAACAAACAAAAAAAAAGTGATTTATGTCTGCAACTCAGATTAAAGTAGGAGGAAGATTCAGATGTTGGAACATTTTTAAGGACTGTAGGAGCAGGTTTCATATGATGCCCCAGGTACTCACCTCATCACTTTCCACCAGGTTCTCAAACTTCAAAGAAAAAGAAATAAATAACTTTTACAATTCAGTATAAGAAATCACTAAAGACATACAGCAAACACAGTTGCATTTTTTATGTGACTGGTAAAAACACTACTCCAATTCTAACAGTGGGACTGTAACCATACTTTCAGAAGAATTTTCTTTTTAGAGTTGGACCTTTCTTCTTACCAATATTTCTTATCTTAAACATTACATTCTCCTAAAAGAAGAAGAGTCATAATTAAAAAAAAAGCGCTCTAAGCTGCACAAACTCATCCAGCAGAAGTTCAGCTCTCACAGTAAAAAAAAAAAAAGGCAATTAGAAATCCTCTGTACTGTTTTCACTATAGTAATCTTAAATCTAGTCAGTGCACCAGACACAGACACAGACACAGAGGTCAGTACCTGGAGCAAGACTCCTAACCTAAAATTTGGGAAGAGAACACTTCCTCCTTTTCCCTGTCATATTTCTGTGCCAGGAACACTCTCACAATGGGAAATTCTGCACCACAACAGATTTCCCTCATTGTACACATCTGACCCCTTTCTCCATCGACAGCCCAAGCATTAACTACAATAATTAATGTTATCCTCAGTAATGGGAGCAATCTGGCTGGTCTAGGATTTCCAGAGCACAGGAACACCCAGGGAAAGTAAACCAGGTTATTCCTGGTTAACCTTACACTACCCTTGGCAAAAAGGAGTTCTATCTGGAGGCTGGGAAAGGAGTTCTGTAGCAAACAAAGTAGACTACAGGTGCAACAGGCTATCAGGTAACCCCAGCGCCAATGTGGGCTGGAATATCCCAGAATCATTTCAGTGTTCATCAACTGCAAAAAAAGTGTTAAAGGCATTGCTAGGATTCAGCTTTCCCCATCCTTTCTTAAATGACTAAAAATTTAAAAGTACTCACCTCTATAGTTAAGTGTTCTCCTGTTGAACATGTTCTAAAATACTTGGATCTGGAAAAATGAGTTTACAGTTAGACTACACAAGACAGCAATGCACAGCAGAAGGTAAATGAGCCTGAGAATTTAAAATAGATTTCAAAGTATGGTAAATATAAAAAAAACCAACAAAATCATCATGCATTTAACACACTGACATATTAACTGGAGCTCTGCATCGCTACTACAGCAGAGAGAGGCAAAAGCATGTAAACATCTTCTGTGGAACTGGTGAAAAAACAAAAACCCTTGTGAGATGAAATCATTTGTCAGGATGCTGGACTTAACATTTACAGACTATTAGAATGTTCTGCAATCCCTCGACTACATTTTTCCTGGAAAAAACCTTGTTCCAGGCAATTTCTGAAAATGCTGTTGCTCATCGCGACACTTAACTCTTTCCTGGCATCTTGTACCTCATCAGTGTTAAACAGTGAGTTTTATTTTAACAGCTTGGCACATCCTGAAGGCTGAGCCTCAGAGAAAAACATCCAATAAGATGTCAAGGCAATACTTTTATACTAAAAAAAAAGGAAAAAAAAAAGAAAAAAAGAAAAAAAAAGAAAAAAAAGAAAAAAAAATCACGCTCTAATTTTATACAGGCAATTGGTTTCTTCCTTGATTCATTATTCAGAATTCTTCCTACTTTATTTTAATTTTTTTACAGAGGACAGTTAGCCCTGTCCTCTACAAAACCCAACACAGTATTAAGTTCCCTGAATACATTTTTACCTAGCCAAGAAGGTTTGGCCACCGTCCAGGAGAACATTCTAAGGTAAACACTCTTCAGTACAACATCCATTTCATCGAACTGTTTCAAATCCAGGGTTTCCAGTTGCAAGTGCTGACTGGTACAAGGAATAAACCCAGGGCTTCAGGGATTTCTACACTTGCACAAAACATCGTTCAGCGCTTGCAACCAACACCTACTTTGACAATAACAAAAGCAGCACAGGAGCCAAAGCCTGAATTATTTCAACCGTATCGTATTTCATCTCCATCTCATTTTTCCTTTGGAAGCCAGTTTAGGGAGCGTCTCCCCTGGCAACTTGTTGCACTACCCACTGGTTCCTTGTTGCACAATCTTTCCTGCCACGAAAGAACCGTTCCCAGAGAATTCACTGCTGTGAAACCAGACAGGAAAGGCCACCTGAAATCATGCACAACGTGGCAAGGATAACTGGGACATGTGGCATGAATACTTAGAGCATTTTCACTGCTAGCCTTCTCTGTAATCTGCCGTGTAGGAGCCAATACCATACCATTAAGAATCTCATTTACTAACACTGTAACAGGAAATTGTTCCAGGGCTATCTACGCTGTTAACAAACGTGTAATTCCAGTTGGCAGCACCAGGCTTTAGGTAAATTACTTCCAACTTCCCAGACACTCCAGCTGCAGTCAGCTTTAGCTGCAAGAACTGAGCAGCAAACTCAATGCAGTGAAACTCCCCAAGTGTAATCACAAACAGCCCAACAGCAACGCCAGCTCTAGGAAAAGCTACTCTTTGAGCTGCTTGCTGAACAGGGCCTGGGTCCCAGAAAACCTAATTCTGTGCCAGAGTTTGAGCCCATAAATCCCAGAACTACAGAAGCTTGAGGTCATTAAGGGACACAAACAGAACACCCATCAGCTTCACCCCTATACAAAACTTCAAGTGAAGTATCAGCAACCTATGAAAACGTTTACACGTTTTATAATTCTCCTTTAAGCTCTGCTTTTCCATTGTTTTCTAAGACTTGAGAATCCTTTTGGTTGGATAGCTCCTGGAGAAAACCATTCAGCTGACAGGTGACAGGACCTATAGAGACAGATTAATCTACCAAGATCTGAAGCTGTTAGAGACTAACTTTTCATACATATATACACACATACTCCATCCATATCCATATATATATATATATATATATATATATATATATATGGATAAATCACAATTCCAAGCAAAGGTAACTGATAGTTTTGCAGGATATTAAAACACTTACTAAAAGCTCTATATTTAGTTGTTTAATTAGGAGTTTATTTCTTACAGGCAAATCTTGGAGCATCTAAAAATAATGAAGCTGGGGTGGGGGGAGGATCTGAGTGATTAAAACAATCATTAAGTTGATAAGCTACATTTTTACATTATGGTCTTCCAGAAATAGCCCAATGTGGACAATGTGGTATCAATCGATGTTGCAAACTTTATAATGTGACACATTTTACAGTTTTGGTTTTAATACAATTCCCTGCTCAGTGAAAGGAGAATAACCTTTAACACTCTGATACTGCTCTGTGAACTACCACCACCAGCATACCCGGAAAAGAAATCTGACCTGAAACACAGGCCAGCAGTTCTCTGTACTTTGTATATGCCTAAGACCTACACTGCAGGTTGTGCAACACCTGAACAATTAGACAATACAACAGCCGGCAGTAAGATTTGTTTCACTGGTAAGGACAGCCTGATATTGGACTAATACGTGCAGGGATTGTCACTACCCTGCCTGCTTAAAAAAGGAGTATTGGCCTGTGGAAGGACACTCAGCAAAACACACATGTGCAGGAGGAACCTTTCAAGTAGTGCCTGGTGTTCTCAAAGCACAACAAACCAATACTTCTGTTCCAGCTGTCAAGGCATTGGAGGTGTTCTCCTCCCCTCTGGTGGAGTACTAAAAATACAAGCAGGTATCCTCTACATGCACTGCCTTGGTTTTTCACCCCTGTCTCTGAAGCAGCTTGTCTGGAAGGCCTTTCAGAAGGTGAGACTCGCCTGCCAGAGATGATATGAAGTAAGAGGCCACGAGCTTGCATCATATAAAATACTCAGCTTATCTGCTGAGAACGATTTCTATCCTAATACATCCAAAATAAGCGAAATGTAGGTATGCTATACTGGTCAGTATGTGGAAAAACCCCAAGCATTTCATGTTTACACAGTGCTTTTCCATGAACTGGTTGGGGCAGAATGAAACAGGTTGTCACACATTTCCACGAGATAAGCGTTTGTCTGAAGCATTCTGCAACAGATATGAGTTCATCTGAACCATTCTGATTTATCCCAACAGCGTCTCAGCCTCTGAGTCACACCGAAAACGAGATCACATTGCAGAAAACCGGGTGTTTTTCCATCTTTTGCACGAGCACGGCCGCCTGCACAGGTTTTGGCAGCTGACCTGAAAAACCTCTCTGAGCATCTCCTGCCGGAAAACCAGCAGCGCTGGCGGGCTAAGGAGCCGCTGACCCTGGAAGCGCATTAACCCCGGCCGCACAAACCGCACGGAGCCCGGCGCCTCCATCCGCCCGGGATGCCGGCGATCCCGAAGGGAACGGCCCGCGGGCACCGGGCGCACCCAGACCCCGCGTCCCCTCCTGCCCTGTCCCCCCCTCCTGCCCCACGGGGAAGGCGGAGCCGCCGGCCCCGGCAGCTCCCCGCCCCGGGGAGGGGAAAGGGGCAGCGGCGGCTGCTGCTCACCCTCCGCCGCGCTGGATGCGGCCGGGATCCCTCCGGAAGAACAGCCCGCAGCACCACTGCGCCCAGCAGTTCCCCATCGCATCCTGGTGGGAACAGCTCCTCCTGCCTCCCGGCGGGCTCAGGCCGGCCCGGCCGTCGGGAGGGGCGGCCGCGGACCCCCGGGAACAAAGGGCCGGCACAGCCTCATGGCTGCGCAGGGGCGGGCGATGCTCGCCACGAACGCCGGCACCGCCCCTGGCACCGGCATCATCGGCCACATCAGCCCGCCCCTTGCCGGGACCGTCCCAGCCCGGCAGAATCCCGCCCCAAACCTGGCCTCCCCCGTGGCGCTGGGAGGTGGGATCGTCTCTCGGCAGCCCGTGCTTTAAAAGAAGGAGAATATACCAGGGTTGCCGTGGGCAGAATGGAAAAGCATCGCCAGTAGTCGCGTTTTGGAGAGGAATGCCGTTTAAGGTCCCTGTTATTATGAAAAAGGGGTGTATTCCCAGTTATCGATCCCGGACTGGGTCAGTGCCACCGAGGCAGCTACAGACGGCCAGACACACCTGGAGCACAGGCACTGTGGTTTAGCAAGGTTCCTCACTTATTCTTTGGCCTCTCTGGCTTCTTAAATCACAGCACCGCACTGACACGTGGAAACACGGACTCGCGGAATCCCAGAATGGTTTGGGTTGGAAGGCACCTCAAAGCTCATCTCATTCCAATCCTCTGCCATGTGTAGGGACACCTTCCATTATCCCAGATTGCTCCAAGCCCCGTCCAACCTGGTCTTGGACACTTCCAGGGATGGGCAGCCACAGCTTCTCTGCGTAACTTGTGCCAGGGGCTCTCCACGTTCACAGTGTGGAGATTTTTCCTGATCTCCAATTTAATATGCAATCTACTCTCTTTCAGTTTGAATCCATTCCCCCTTGTCCTTGGTAAGTTAATGGTGTCATTACAAATGCGTGGTTTGCTCCTTTCTATTGAACAGTCCCAAAAGTATCTCAGCAGCAGAAGAGTTAATTGGATTCCGAGTCAGCTCTCCATTAGCAGCACAGGACAGATGCCAGGACCCAGAGGAGCTACTTGCTACAATAGTGATGAGCAGTGGAAGGTAGGAGCAATGTAATAAATCACTGCCAACCACACTCCGATGTTTTCCTTTCCCTGGAAATGTGAGGTCAGCCTGGAAAGGTGCATTACTGTGATTGCATGTAGGGACAGAGAATGAGGGTGAAGGAGACATAAAAGCAACCAGGAATTAATTACAGAGGGTGATGCATATCGATGATGTGACTCAGGAGGAACACGATGAAGGTTCCAGAAAATGTTATTGGGATATATGATTCCTCATTACACTGTTTTCCAGGAAATTGACATTTTGACAAGGTATATAGCCCTTCTTTCCCAAAGAGGAATGTTGCAGTATTCTAGCGTGACAGGTGTTCATAAATTTGTTCAGAAAAATGGAACACCTTTTTTTTCCACAGTACCCTCAGCTGTGAAATAGAAGCCACCAAATTGAGGCGGGAATATTGGGAATATCCAAGCTAAATGCCTTTGTTTCTGCACTTTGTTCCTGGTGGGATTTTGCTACACATCTCCTGCCATGCCACTCCTGCCCAGAACATGAGAAGTCAGTGTTAGCAGAGGACCATCATGGGTTGCTACATCCACCACTGGATGGAAAGGACAAGGGGATGCTGGATTAAGAATGTATTTATTGGCTGAAGTCTCCAGGAGTAAACCCACAGGGATGCTTCAGCTTTCCTTCTTCTTAAAGGGAACAGGTTCATGCGTGGTGTTAAGTTGCAAATAAAATGTGCAAACATTGCCAATTTTGTAAGATAAACTGCACAGTAAGGCCACTGGCACATACATCTAAAACCAAATTATTCCGCCTTTTTCACGGCTTATCCTTAGCAACACCAGTAGCCTCCCAACCGCACAGGGAATATTACATGGATTCAGGCTGCGTTTTTAACATGTCACTCAGCCCACCGCACAGGAGACAAGGTTGCTTAGCACGCTTTACCCTAGCGGCTTTAAGAAAGCAGCCTTTATAACATTTTATTCCTAAAATATTTTATTGTGCCTTTTTACTCTTTATAAACCAAGCAAGGCTCCACGCGCCTTTCGCGACAGGCGGGACCCGCGCTTTACGGCGGGCCGTGGCCGCGCTTTACGGCGGGCCGTTGCCGCAGTAACGACGCGTTGGGTCGGGAACCGCCGCCGTCCGCGGTGCCTCCATCCCGCTCCTGTCCCTGCATCCCGGGGCGTCCTGCCACAGGGCCCGGGCCCTCCCGCCCCGGCCATGGACAAGTACCAGGTGCTGGGGCTGGTGGGGGAAGGCAGCTACGGGGTGGTGACCAAGTGCAGGAACAGGGAGAGCGGGCAGATCGTGGCCGTCAAGAAGTTCCTGGAGGGCGACGACGACGCGGCGGTGAGGAAAATCGCCCTGAGGGAAATCAAACTGCTCAAGGTGAGGCTGGCGGGACCCCTCCTCAGCGGTTCTGTGCTTGGATTGTAAAGGTTTTGTGTTTAAATTGGCGGCTCGGGTTGTGTCGCAGCACAGCGGCTGTGGGCAGCTTTCAGCGAGTGTCACCCACAGACTCCAGGCCAGGAGAGACCCGCTTGGGACCCCGCTTGAATTTCCACGTTCGGCCAAGCCCTGCTAGATTAATTGAACCTTTTTGTGCCGTAGCCTCGCAGAGCTGCTTTTCCCTTTGCCTGAGTGCCGTGCTGGGTTCACCTGGTGAATCCTGGATTAGGAAAGCCTGGTGATGTTTGGCGGCAATGGGAACGGCCCACGGTCTCTGTTGCCTCCTGGCGGTAGCTGTCCCTCTGTCCCAAATGCTTGTCCTTGGCTGCTGTGGATTTGCTGAAAATAGAAAGAAAATAGAAGAAGCGCTGAGCTTTTAAAGCCTGCGGGTGAATGGTGACCTGGGTGTGTGACACTAAGCGGGCTGGGGACTGCCGGTGTCACCGGGGGAAATGCTTCTAGGAAAGTTTTCCTGTGTTTTATTTTTCTTCATGGCGCCTTGCTGGCAGGCAGGAGGCTGGAGGAGGACTCCGATGAGATTCCCTGAACTATGTGGAGCCCCTAGGTGGGAGCCAGCTGGCACTGTGTCCTTTGCTGTTGGAGTGTGGGATTTTTCTGTTGGAGTGCGGGATATTTGTCAATACTGATAATTGTGGTGTCAGTATTGTGGTGAAAGGGGGAAGGACAAGGGGGAGTGGATTCAAACTGAAAGAGAGTAGGTTTTGATTGGATATGAGGAAAAAGTTATTTCTTGTGAGGGTGGTGAGGCACTGGCATGGGTTGTCCAGAGAAGCTTCCCTTGTCCCAAAGGAATGCTTGTCCCATGTGCAGTGCTTGTCCCTGTGCATGGGCACAAATAGGAGTTTTAAACATTGGGACACAGATGATGTGTTTAGAGAAAAAAAGAAGGAAGATCTTACTACACTCGGAGTGCATCCAAGCTACTCCTGTGATGTGGGGTGTTTCAGAGGTGGGAATGCTGGCAAACGTGTGTCCTGTCCTCTTGTCTGCCACAAGTGTCTCTTCCTAAAACTGCCAGCTTACAGTTCCTGTGCAGTGAAGGGATAAAAACCTGATATTTGCCACTACTGCAAGAGCTATAGAATTAGAGTTAATAGAAATGTATGTAATGGAGCTTAAGACACAGCCAGCAGCTCCAAGCATTATCCCCTCAAACCCTTTTAAAGTGAATCTGTGTGAGCCTGGATTGTACCTGCTCCACTGGCCAGACTCACCAGGTTACTGAGTTACTGAGCACCACCCAGGTGTGTTGGGAATTAACTGGTTTTCCTGGGTGAGTGGAATCTTAGAAAAGGGAACATTTGCATATACAGCTCGGGAAAGGTGGTTTCTCACAGGGGAAATAAATACCTGGAGGTTTCATCTCTGTGTAGTTCCTTCCATTGTTCCCTGTGAATCTTTGGTTTTAATATTTTTTTTTTTCTCTCGAGTTTGGGCAGAGATTTGATTGTGTCTGAAAACAGCAAAACCTCTTCAGATCTCCTGTGTGAGGAATAAGTAATTTTTTGGAAAAGAGCTTTTTCTTTTATTGATTATCCTTTAAAAATTCTTCTCTTGTCAGACCTTCTAAGAAATCTGGGCAGACAGAGATGCAGGGTGGCTGGCACTGCCTCTGCACTGGCAGAGTTTCCCCTACAATTCCCTGTGCTCTGCAGTCATTTTGCATCTTCCTGGGTCACACCCCTGGGCTCTGGTGCTGCCTCCAGGCAGCCTCCGGTGATGTTTCCCTGCCAGGCTCCAGCTAATAAATAACTGTGCTCTGTAGCATGGCCTTTTATGTTGGTGTGTGATAAATGTGTAACAGATTGGAAGTGGATTCTTGTCTGCTGGGAACGCGCTGACAAAATAACTCGAAAACACAGCTGCTTTTTCTTCTTCTTTTTATTCAAGTTGCATTTTTTTTGGTACTGTCCCAGCTGGGCTGCAGTTAAAAAGAATTACCCGCAAGAATTTTTTTTTTTAAATTTCCCTTCATTGTTTTCCCTAAGTAAGTGTTTTCCCTCATTAAACGTTCCCTGTTTTATGACAGCAACTCCGGCATGAGAATCTGGTGAACCTGCTGGATGTGTGTA